CTAGTCTGGGTAAAGAATTATATACTCGCTGCGATGTGACTGTAACAATGCCTACGACGAGTAATAATTTATTAAAAGGAAAATTACCAGCTTAACATTATCTAAATTAGGAACTGGAACCGTACCTAAAAGAACCGGTTTTGGAACCGGAACCCTTTGAATATTGGGAACCGGAACCTCACCGAAACTCTAATTTAAATAAACTTTAAAACTGGAACTTCACCGGAACCTTTATTTGTATTTATTTAAAAATTGGAACCTCACTGGAACCGATAATTTTTTGTAAAGGTTTCTTACGGTTAATTTCGGTATTGTTATAATTGCATTATTTTCATTTATATCTGTCATTAATGGGTAATAATATTTAAACAAAAATGTAGATCTATTATTATTATTATCGGGATTAATAATATTCAAAAATAATCATGCAAGTACTTACAGAGTCTAGACGTGTCATTAAACTATTAGGCTAGATTCACATGGACACGCGTTAACGTCCAAAGGTTGGTTAAATGGGTGCTATTTGGAGGAAGGCACACAAACGCAATATTATTCTCTTGACATTCTTCAAGTACTTTCACAGAAATATGTGATGACAGGTTATCACCAATTAACACTTTTTTCCCATCAAGCTTTTTTTAGTCTCGGTAACATTAAGCTGATGAACCATTCCTCAAATGTTAATCCATCAAACCTACCACTTGGGGTATTACTATAACGAGCTCCTTTAGGTCCACCTTCAGTCCAAGTATTCCACATACAATTTGAACGGTATACGACAAAAGGAGGCAAAAGTTCACCAGCTGCAATACCTGATATCATTAAAGATATACTTGTTTTAAAACTTTACAAATCTTATTTGGATACTTAGTGCCACGTTTCACTATATATTAATTTGTGCCAAGGTTATCTGTCATATTAGTTTCATCATAGTTCCAGATGTTTTGAGGAGGGACATTTTGGACTACTACTGACAAATTATTTATATAATCTTTGATAACGTCTTCACTAATAGCTGCTCTACTTTTTTTTAATGTTAGCTACAAACCTTACTGACAGTTCTGGATGCCTTTTTAAAAACTGCTTAGCCCAATCAGTCCCAGGAATATTGTTTTTGAATTTTTTTGCTTTTTTTCCAATTTTTGTGAGGTAATCTTTTACTATTAGTTTTAAGTCATTTTCACCAAAAGGAAAATCAGAATCACTCATTGAAATGATACATTTTACAAAACAGTTTTCTTCTTGGTTACTGAAAACAGTTTGTGAGCCTATACTCTTCATATGCTTTTCTCTTAATTTATAGTTAATTGTCCTACGAGGTATATAAGTGTTGCAAGTCGAAGATGTATTTAATTTAAATAAACATGAGACTTTTAATACATTAATACATTTATTTTAATACTCAAAGTGTTAATAACAAAATTCTAATACAAAGTGACGTGAAGTTGCTTGTTGTTCCGTGACTAGAACTCATCTGAATTGTGGTCATTTTGATCTCTCTTTTATATGGATTGATTGACGTCATTGGTCTTGTTGTTTCGGCATAACTCCTTATTTAGCAATAGGCCATGTTCGTTCGACCTAATTTATCATTTTATAGATTACATCTTTTAATATATATTACTGGTCTTATTAAATGTAGGTGTTTCTAGGAATATATATTAATCTTTTAAAATATATATTGTTATTATTGGTTTATGGCCAACCTATTAAATGTAGGTGTTTCTAAGAATATATATTAATCTTATAATATTTTAAATTAATGATTATAGATAGTCTATGATCAAATATAGGTGTGTAACACCTGTGATATTGTGTTACGCACAATTCTATTTATACATGTTTTTGTGGTAGCCCATAACATACTACTGATACCAATTTCAAAAATCAAATGGTAATAATAATTTTCTGATTGTATAAAATATAATATATAATATTGGTTAAACTAAATGTTCCAATTAAAATATTTGAATTTTATTTTTCAGAAGAATGTATTTATAATTGGTGGAACAAATTTCAAAAGATTTATAATAAGAACATTACGTTTATTTACAAACGAACTCTCAATCAAATATATAGAAAATTATATCAAATATAACAGAAAGTGTGGTACTAACAACTGTACAAGAATTAACAAATAAAAAATATATAGATTTTACACCAGTTACAAAGATAGATAGAGAAATGACCAACATAAAGAGTTACATTTGAATCTAATATATGTAACCTTAATTTTAAGAATATTACCAATAATTTTAATAATAGTTGTATAATATACAAATATACATATTACGTTGCGGTAAAATATAAAATACAATGTTATAAGAATAAACAAAATATAGAAGAACCTAAAATATACAAATTATTTAAAAATGATTTATAAAATTTTGAGTTAGGAAAAATAGAAAAGAGGAGATGGAAATAAGAGAAGAGGGAGTTTATCCATATATAAATCATAAGAACTTAATTCGATGATTATAATAACACTTGATACTAATTTTGATGTTAAATTTAGGAAAATAAAATTTTAATTCAGTCCACTGTCGTATCTGTCGGTCCATACCGGGTCAACAATACCTCGATCGAATGAGGCACGAAGTAGTGTTCCGGCTTCTGTGCGCTTGACCATGAAGTGTATTAGAAACCTTACACCGATGTATGAATGATACGTACATACACACGAATCATCGAAAAATCCAGATAGACGGTGTCTTCAGGTGTGCTTAATATTTTAGCTCGAGTACGGTTTTGGTGACGTCGGAAAGGATGTTTTTTAAGTTCTGGATCGGCTACCTGATCAGTCGACCATTGTTTGAAACTTGCTAGTGTAATTTGTGACGCAAATACTTCTAACCTCGATAAGGCGTCTGGAACAATGTTTTTGTTACTGTTATGGGCACACATAATAATGAATAATAAATAACTTATTACATAATATTATCAAGGGTACACAAGACCATACATAACGAGACAGACAATACACACATGTAGAAACATTATATTATAACCAAAGGAGAGTCTTAAACATAATACATACATGGGAATTATTTTCGCGTCCCGCATAGTCACATAATAAAATACATCACAAGGAGGTTCCCATGAACATCAAAAACCACAATTGTGGATAAGTTAGATTATTGTGTTCACGTGGTTATTACACTGGAAATTACAATAAGGAATTAGAATATCGAAATCACAAGCGTGGGCAAATGAAAGGGTTCACATAAACGTTTTTATGGGAAATTGAAATAAAATAGTTAATCGAAATAGTAGTGACCACATCCTCGGCATTTGCGTCAATAATTATGTCACGGTCCGGAGATAACGCGCACACACTCACAATCAATAGGAAATTATCTTATTTTATTATCGCTTTCATTTACACACACACATGCATATATCAGATATAAAAAGAAACCGAAAACAGGGGCAAATCAGACGAGTTTTGGCTATGCTGCACTGAGCACCTTCACGTCAGTGTGTCATGGTCCGGACTTAGAAATATTTTTTTATTTTTTATATTTTATAAAAATAGTTTATAAACTATTTTTATAAGTCATAATTGTTAGGACTTAGATAATTTCTACAAATCCAAATTGTTTGAACTTAGAATATTTACAAAATTGTAGTTAGAATAATTTTATAAGTTTAATAAATTAAATTATTATTAAAGAGTCTTAATTATTCTTCACTACGTCAACAACCAAGCGTTGACTGAGACGTTAACACTGAAATCACGGATCGAACGGTTGGCACGTAACAAAATTATGACCAAGTTAAATTACATTAATAATCGGATGCGACGCATTATCAATCAATATAATAGATGTGGGCAAGTATAGTTAAAATAAAGAATGCATGTGAATCACGTATTAAATATTACACAGTAAATATGTGACAGATGTTCATAAAACCCGAGGATGGACATATAACAATTATTAGATAAAAGCCACATCCTAAACTCCGTACTTAGAAACCACACATCACTGGCCACGTCCTGTGTTGAATAAATCGCGAGACAAAGAACGATAAGGAGTTCACACGAGATCAGGGTATAAAAAGGGATCCTGAACATATCCATTTTCAGATATGTTTTAGTCCTGATATAGTGTGCACCTTCACGTTAGTTTGTTTAATAAATTATTTTGACTTAAATATTTATGATAAGTCATTAGATATTTGGACTTACAATTATTTCACAAGTTGAGAGCTCATTAATTCATACCTATCACAATTCTACATTGATTGGAAGCTGTTCACATTGGTTGAAATCTACTCTCGTTGCACTATTGGCACGCAACATTACTTTCAAGGTGTTCGATGTTGTTTATAAACTGTGATAAGAACGCGATATGCCGTGTCTGGCGGTCGGTCGACCTTCGATTATGTATAGGAAATGACGTGTACTTAAGTATGCAGCGAGTAGCTTACGATTTTAAGTGTTGTACCTAGTTTCCGCTCCCGACAATTTTTTTGAAAAAAATCCGAAAAATTGTTCCGGCACGGCTTCTACTGCGGCGGTGTTAAATGCGTGGGATTGCATGACGCTTAAAGAAACAACAACGGAGGCAATATAGATCACGTCGAGGTCACCAATTTGGAGGTTAATGTGATACTACGCCCGGAAGTGTGATAGTTCCAACTGAAACGTGTATAAACCCGAAAAACAATAAATCGACCAACGATTAAATCACGTCTCAAGGTGTATGTTTAACAATAAGCAAAAAAAAAAAAACATATAATAATAGTAATAAAAATATAAAAATAATAAAATGATAGCTTACCGGATCAGACGGTTTTTATTAAAAAAAAAAATAACAAAAAAGTCGCATGCATTTTTCTCTGGCAACAGCTGACAGGAAACAAAAAAAGTGCTGTCGACGGTCGTGCGTCACCCGCGATGATATTATGGAGGACGGTATCACGTATGGAGGGAAAACCGGAATTGTTATGAATGGGTCGCCGCACGGCGTATTCAATAACCTCCTATTATCATTTAGACGGAACAGAGTGCATGCACTCTGCACGGTGCGCCGTATCACCGACTATCATCGGTCCACAGTGCAGAGATTTCTTTTTGTTGAGTTGCGAGTACATTCTCGGCGAATGACTGTTGTTGGATCTCTCGTCATATCTCGTCATATCATATTGTGGACGCAATCAAACCGTCAAAATATCGAATACACGAGCGGTGAGAATCACTTATTTCTAACTGTAGCTTAATATATGCATTTATTATCATAGTTTATAGTTATTATCCGTCTTTTTGTAAAAACTTCATTATCATGATGATATCAGTTTATGAACTTTTTCAACTACTCGTTCGTTTCTTCCAAACGCTTTTGAAGAATTGCAAAATCAAGAAAATTTTAACATTGTTAAAGAGTCTAAATTAAAAGATCCAAAATATTTAATCCAATATTTATTATTTAGTACTTCGTTAAATATTACAGATTTTGAGTGAAACTCATGTCATATCATATCTCATCAATAAATTCATTATTTATTGGTTAATTTTATTTTGACTATGTAAATCATTACAAGATTGAAGTATATTAACTGTACTAATCATTAAATAATCAACATTTCATTAAATTTAATGAATTTATCAATAAAAGAATAAAATATTGAAATTTCAAATTTTTAAAACAAAGTTATATTAACTGTTTTAAATATTTAATTTTAAACTTATAACAAAAAGCAAAAGAATAATTTTATTAGTTAGATAAAATTTAAATACTCTTCTTAGGTACATGACAGAAACATTTAGTAAAATATTTCATCAATGTTATAATATTTGTAGATGTTACTTTATCATTACTACAATATTATTTAACTGTTATCCTAACAACTTCAATGTTATCCAACTTCTTGTTATTCTAATTACATACTTTTAATGTTATGATAATGTAAATAATATAATATTCAGTAATTAATAAATATTCGGTTAGTGAAATATCACCTAATATTCTTGATACAATTCTACAAACATTGTTTCCAATAACATTGATTAACACTGATAACCAAGTAACCTAAAAATAAATATATTTTGCAAAACAATGATATATTAAGGATATTTTAAAGAATTAACAAGTATAATACCAATGTATTTTTAAAGTTTCATTGGCCTTTATTTTTAATTCAAATGCCTCTAATTCATCATGACTTTTAACCTAGGATTATGTTAATAAGATTTATTGCATTTTTGGCTGATTTATTTTTCTTAATCATCAATATAAACATTACATGTAATAACATTAACACTAATTGTTTTGAGAATACTTAAATTTAAAATTTAAATGGTGCCAATGTCGTATTTCTTATTTACTAAAGTTATAAACTGTAGAAAATCTGTCAAATCAATAAAATTTATTAGAAATTCAGTCTGTAATAACACATTTTATGGTAAATAATTAAAAATTATAATAATATATAAATATTACAACTGATTAATGTTTTAAGTTGAAATGTGAGCATTTGTATCATATATTTGATGTAAGAAAAATAAATGAATAACTTAAACTTTAGTCAAATAGCATTTTATGGCAACAGTAGCTACTATATAGTTATTATAAATTATGATAGTATCCATGGGCGTACTAAGGGGGGGATTAGGGAGTTTAACCCCCCGTGTATACATGATAAATATATAATATATATTAACTGCTTATATTTAACTAATTATTGTATTTCCCAATTTTAGAGTTTTTTTCATAACAATTTATTTATTTATTATGTATCATTTTCTCCTTATTAGTCTGTATTATTTGATATTGGTGGTATTAATTATTATTATTCTAAGGCCGTGGTAACTACCCATTAGCTAGTTAGCTAGTACCTTAAATCAAGAATCACAAAATATAATGGTCAAATTGTCAATTTATCATATATCATATCACAGATTATTTTAATAATAATTATATAATTTATTCTTTATATAAATTTGTTATTTGTTATTTGTTATTTTGAGTTTTGAAATTATTTAATTTTCAATTAAAACGTCACATAATAAAACTAATATACCACTTTCAGCTGAAAAAGTTCTTGATGAGCTTGCTAAAATACCTTGCAAATTTAACTTTGTTTTATGATTTTAATTTATAACGCATATTGATTATAATATTTTATTAAAACAAGTTGAACCCCCCCCTCCATTCAAAATACTATCAGATATATTTGGCTGGTTTTGTAAAATATAAGTATCTTGTGGCAATTCTAAATATTAGCTCTAGTACTAGATACTATAGTACTATAACAATATAATAACAATATATGTATTTACACGGGTAGGAACATAAAACATATTTTTTTTTTTATTTTTTTTAATTTGCCTTTGTAATAAAACATAGTATGTTAAAACTAAATAAGTTTAATGTTTTTTTTTTTTTTTTTTTTTTGAGCCATGAAAAATTAAAGGAAATTAATATTTATACTTTTACTTTTACAATCAGGTCATACAATGAAGTTTTTAAAATTATTTTTACAATATATTATATACTATATCGTAACATTTGATAATTATAGTTAAAATATAAATTTATAGTTATATATATTATATTACCTGAGTTTTAAATATTTTGATCACAAAATAATACTTAACTTTGATATTATTGTAATCAGATCTTGCTTTATATAATCATTTTGTGTCCTTGTCCTCTTCAACCATTTAAGCCCCAAGAGGAGATGACATTGTTTGTTCTGTATTGTTAATGTGTTTATAATTTAATGAATAGACAGTGTTAATTAATTAATTCCATCAATAACAGTGCAACTGTCAGTATTCAAGTTTAAATATACAATAATATAATTATTACTGGAAAATATACAACAAGGCTTTTCTTGTCAAAATAACTTTTTAATATTACCTTTTGTATAAAATTTAATGTTTGCTTTTAAATTTAGATATGTATTTTATTTTTAAATGTTCTCAATTTTATTTAAATTGGTTTGATATTTTTATATTATATCTTGTTTTCCTACTTGTGTAAAGTAAATAATATTACATGAAATAATTTATAATATGTTTTAATGAAATTAAACTTTTATGATAAATATTTTATTTTTTATTGTTTTTCTTATTGAAATTGTAAAAAAACATTTATACTTTGGCTATTGTTAATTTTCCAAAGGGAATCTTTGTCTGAATCATATGATGGAACATTGGAAAATGTTTAAAATTATTTACTTCTTTGTTTTAATAAACTGATTGAGAAACATCTGAAATGGTCTTTAGAAAAACACAATTAATTTTTATAACTTCATATGCATTAGAAAAAGAAACCTTTTAAACCTTACCATGATAATGAAGACAGCTATTGGATGATATTTATATTAATTTTGAGTTGTTTACTTTTAGTTTTTTTGATTTAATAATTGTATTAGGAACTTTAACTTCTATTAGGGTACTTTCTTTTTCTTTTTGTCATCCCATCAATGTCATCAGCACTTGATAAGTATGATTTGTTAATTTTTGTTTCATTGAATGAACCTGTGCAATTTATGCAAAACTAATAGTATTATTATAAATAGTATAATTCTCTAATATTTTTGAAATATTTCTTTAAGTGAAAAATGTCTCAAATATAAAATTTGTCTATATTTGTAAAATATAGTAATTTATATTTTGCTAAATTCTTTTTTTAGACATATTTCTTTGCTTATTTAGATGTTTTAGGTCCAGCACTAGAATTAATTTTCAACCAAAAGTTAAGTACCACTAAAACAATGTGTCATAGCCACAAACTACTGCAGCAACACAACCAGTTTCATCATTTATCTAAATTAAAAAAGGAAACAATTAAATTTATGAAAAGTATAAAATATTTTATTTAATTATGTACCCACTATAAATAATATGTTAATATTTTAAAGTAATATTATTTATATAGTCTAATACTTTATGTGGACATTTGATATTAAATTATATGTATAATACGCTGTTAGAAAGTATAACATAGACTGTATGTTGTAACTATTTTTACATTTAATATCTTTTTTAATCAGCTATTTGAGTTTTTGAAACATTATTAGTTTTTGTTTTCTTTTTACGCTCATCAAATTATCACAAATGCTTAAATAATTAAGATTAAAGTATTAACTTTTAATAAACTTTATATATTTATTACTTTAATAGTTCTTTAACAATCATGTATTTATAAATTAACATAACAGAAAATACACTATTTTATCTTTAATTATTGTATTACTGCTACGATTTTAACACTACTCACTTAACACTAACTGCACAATATTTTCCATTAGAATTTATAAATTAACAATATCTATAATAAAAATGTGATTTAATTCTTTAGACCATTTTTTCCTTACCAACTCCTCAACACCTCAAGATAGACTGCGATGTATGGAACTTTTTATTTAATATAAACATAAGAGTTGAATATTACTTTATCATAATGATTTATAGTTACAGTATATTATTAGAGGAATTACATTGCCATGACTACATCCCATGATGATGCCCATTTGGAGATCAATGACTGTGAAATTAATCGAATTTGTGGTACAGACAGAGTAGCTGCATATCTTGTGAAAGAAGCCAATTTGGAAAAAAATAAAAACAAACGTATTAAGATTTATGACAGTATTGTATATCTTTATTCCACTGCGGATAAAGTTCTAATGAACGATTTGGTAAGATAATTATTGATATATTTAAATTTTTTTCAAATATATTTGATAATTTTTCAATATTTACAGAACCATTTATTAGGCAGGGCTTTTATTTGCCTGTTAGAAAATCACACATTAAAAATTGCTAATATTAAATTATCCTCTATGATAAGGGAATGCTTAAATTGCATTCCTCATATAATAGGAAGATCTCCCATCGAATTCCTAGAGAGTCAATATAAAAGTGAATTACTTCATAATAGATCAGCATTACGATCTAAAGAACAAAAACTCAGCGATTCTAGATCAGATATTGCATTCTGTCTATTGAAAATGGGAAAAATAAAACAAGCACAATCAGAATATGAATTAGCTTTAAGATCTAACTCAATGTGTGTACAAGCATTAATTGGTCTTGCGGTTATAAAGCTAAATTATAGTGAATCTCTAAATACTCTTAATCTATGCGTAACATTTTCAAAAAAATGTGACATTGATACAATAAAAGTAGAAACAATAAATAAGATTGCTTTTGGATTTTATATTCAAGAAAATTATGACAAAGCTGAAAAATATTCTAAAATTGTGCTAAATAAATCAAAAAATGCAGATCGTTTAACTGAAAGTTATAATTTACTTGGTAAAATTTATGAATACAAGGTATCTATTAAATTTTATTATTTTTATTACTATTTTAAATATAAAATATTAATACATTATTATAGGGTGATATTCATCAAACATACATAAACTTTTTCAAAGCCGTTAAATGTGCACAACGTGATGTTGTATACCCATACTATGATCTTGGACTGATATATTACTATACTTTCGATGACAAAAGAGTAATATCTATTTAAAAAATGATTGTTATTTTAAATACAGTAATTCTCATGTATATTTGAGTATTTGTAATTATTTTAGGCTGAATGGTGCTTCCGAAAGTTTTTAAAATGTAATCCGATATGTGTAAAAACAAAGAAAGTTCTATGCTCATTATATGCTCGTTCAGAAAATCAAATTCAAAAACATATTGCTAGAAAATATTTGAAAGATGTAAGTAATTTGGTCTTTTTTAGAAAATCTATACAATATTTTACTTATTTTCTACATTTTAGGTAACAGATGAATTCCCAAACGATTTGGAAGCCTGGGTGATCTTAGCTCTGTTAGATATAGACAATCCTGAATTGTTAACACCTTTATATCATAAAATTATAGATTTGATGAAATCCCAAGAGAATATGAGAGACCTTCCATTTGAAGTATTTAATAAAATTGCTACTATACATTGCCGGTATGCTTTATCTAAAACTTATCTTTATATAAACTATAAATATTTATTTCAATTAAAGATATGGATTGCATAACAAAGCTCGTTCGATACTTGAAAGATCTGTGAAGTTATTAAGAGAAAAATTTAAGACTTCTACATGTTTACATTTAAAGTTTTTGATTCATAGAACATACGTTCAATTGGCTACAATTTATGAAATCCAAGAAAAGTTTCAAAAGGCAGAAAAACTTTACAAAGAAATGAACGAGATGAATCTAATAAGTATTTACGGTATCTATAAAAAATTTTTATTTATTGTTATTACTTCTGAAAGAGTGCCACCTTTATTATGTCTTACGATTTGTATATTTATTTTAGAGAAGGATATATTAATATAATATATGATATATTATAATGATTGGTAAGATTATACAGCATATTAGATTAGATTAAGACCACAACATTAACTTTTTAAAACTAACACCACTGGAATTAACTTGTACAATTGTTCTATTGTACTCAACAGTTTCCTTGTAATTGGGTTTTTAGCTGTATTTCATAACTGGGATGATGAAGCTATTGAGTATGTGTAAGCAATGCTACATCACTCAACAAGTTTCATAGCGTTAGCACTACATAAAGTGTTGAATTTAGCAAATGAAAAAGATAAGCCTGTATTAAATTTATATTCTAGAACTTGGTTATTATCGTAGTAACAAATTGACTATTTAATTTTAAGTTATCATTGTTGAAGGACATTTCGGATACATATTTTATATTTATTGATAATAAACACCCTTAAAAAAGGGTCAGTACAGATAGATAATACAATATTTAATAACTACCTAAATTATTTCACAAATTATATAATTACATTAATTACATAATTAATTAATTACAATAATAAATAATTAATTACATTAATTATTTATATTGAGAATAAAGATTTTAACTTGGTTGGACTATCATTGAAAAAATCAAAATGTTTTTATGAATTACTTGTTAGCATTTTATTAATCATTAAAAGGTATTTGAGATCAAAATTTGGGACAATCAATCTGATGATTAAATAGTTTATAATATAAACATATTATTAGTATATAATGGTTATATTATAACCAAAGCACATCATAATATTTTCTTCTCTTTTCCGATGAATCAATATTAAAATGTATTGCTGTACTTATTTTGTTTGTTTTAATTGCAAGTACTTGTAAAAAACAGATTCTGAGTATGATTATTGAGTATGAGTATTACATTGATTCAAAATAGAGTTTAAACATGTTTACAGTTTCATTAATATTTTTTCAATGGTAATATTATAAGGAATCTTGTTTAATTTTTGTTAACTTTTTATAAATTTACAAAAATATTTTGGATTATTTTTCAGTGAGGTCTGTGTTTTTCATAACACAAAGAAAGTGATTTTCACTTCTTCCATTATATATATTTAGGCCACTTGACTTAAAAATAATTTATGTATCTTCTTTTTTCTTTTATTAACATACGTAATTCAAATGAGAATCCAGTAGGAAATGTATGAGTGTGAGTTATTGTTTTTGGAATGGTTTTTCTCAGTTGTATCCAACACTTATTCATAAAATACATCTAAAATAATATTTATATCATTTTCTTTGTATAAATTATTCCAATTAAAATTCGAAAAAGTAATATATATATATATATATTCATATCCCTTTTAGCCCGAAGATATTTATTAGCTTTTTAATACTATGGACCTATGCCACACTTTTGTGCGTGTTACTACGCGTACCACTTATGATCCGAGGCTTATTTTATTTGAAGTACTATTATGACCTATCCCACACATACGTGATGGTTGGGTGAAATATTTTGTACCTAATTTATGGAATGAGTTACAGTGTTTAGACCTAGCCCATCCGATTGTCCGTGTTATTGTGTTTGACTAAAAATTATTTTTATCAATTTATATTAATAATATCATGGGTTTTTTTTCTTTGTTCAGATATGCATTCAATATGGTACATTTATAGTCTATAATTAGTCACTTGGTTTATTAAATTATTCTACGTATTATACATGATATTCTTAAAATGTTATAATGCTTTGATCAGTCACATAATTTAATCAGTTTTCGTCCGACTTGTGTGCGGTTATATCATTTTTAATTTACCCACACATTTGTGCGTGTTCGGATTCTGTGTCATACATTTTGATTATCATACGTTATTTCGTCTACGGTTTCTGTTTTTATTTGAGAATGCGTCGCGCAAAGTTGAACGCGAAAGCTATTGAAATGTTGGCCACATTAAGCGATGATTCAGATTTAGATTTTGGAAGTGACGACTCAGATGCTGACCGTACTTGGCATCCCCAGAATGTTCAAATTATTGGTGCATCTGATTTTTCGGATTCGGGCGAAGAAGATATTGTAACCGAAAATGTACCTGATGTCTCTACTTCAGACGAAAATCAAATATTTTCACCATCATCGCCCTTACAACAACAAATAGACCAGAATCCATTATCAAATGCGACTATTCTGAATACTGGTTGGACTCAAAAATCATTTATTGGAAAACCGTTACCAGGTAATAATTTTGGGCCTTATTTACCGATTAACATCAGAACTCCACTTGAATATGTCAAAATATATCTTCCTGATAAACATTTTGAGGAAGCAGCATTGTATACAAATATGTATGTAATGAGCAAAACGGGAAAAGAACTAAAAACTACCGCAAATGAAATACAAATTGTGTACGGTGTCCATGCTATGATGAGTGTGTTTAAGTACCCCCGATTAAAAATGTATTGGGATAGTAGAGGCATGGGTTTTGTTCCTATTTCACAAGCTATTACGAGGGACAGATTTTTGAAATTGCGCTCTTGTTTGCACTATGTCGATATTAATAATCGTCCGACTGGTAATAACCGATTTTGGAAAGTTCAACCTATAATTGATCAAGTTCGTAATGCGTGTAGAAATATTCCCCGTTTAGTTGACTGTTACTCGGTGGATGAGCAAATGATTCCGTTTACTGGTCGATGTCCAAGCAGACAATATGTTAAAAACAAACCACGACCCACTGGCTTAAAAAATTTCGTAATTACTACGTCAACAGGGAAAGTAATTGATTTTGAAATTTATCAAGGTGTCGATACGCCATTCCGAGACAAATTGGGGCTTGGACCGGCAGTCGTACTTCATTTGTTTCAAAGTATTCCGCAGGGATCAGTTCTATTTTTCGACCGGTACTTTACAACAGTACCATTATTGGATCGGTTGTTTAGTGAGGGACTAATGGCTACAGGCACAATAATGTCAAATAGATTAAGCAATGTGCATTTTAGTCAAGACAAAAAATTCCAAAGAGGTGTTTGAGAGGAGTTCACAAGGTGTGACAATCAAATATCTGCGACCAAGTGGAAAGATAGTAAATGTGTGACTTTAATTTCTAATGCTACAGGAGCAGAACCTCATAGTGTAGTAAAAAGATGGAGTAAAACGGAAAATAAGGAAATCGAAGTACCCTGTCCAGATGTTGTTAAGTCATATAACCAGTACATGGGTGGCGTAGATATATGTAACCAACAAATGGAATGCTACCGTACGTGGATCAAATCGAGAAAATGGACATTAAAAGTTGCACTACATTTCATTGACCTAAGCATCGTAAACGCCTGGATGGAATATAGAGAAGACGCGCAAAAGTTACTAAAACGTAAAAATGAAATTATGGACCTTATGAATTTTAAAATCGCTGTTGCTAGAGAATGGTTAACTAAATCTCCAAATAAACGTGCACTATCATTTGAAGAATTAAATTCGTCTGACACCGAGGAAAATCAGATGACAACACAGAGACCTCAAAATTATAGGGCACCAGTCCCACCAACAACCAAAGTGAAGGATGGATTCGAGCATTGGCCAGAAGTGTGTAACATACCAAATCCAAAGTGCTGTAGGATGAAGGGATGTAAAAGCCGATCAAGAATCAAATGCACCAAGTGTGATATTTATTTATGTCTAACTGCTAAAAAAAATTGTTTTACAATTTTTCATAAAACATAAGAACAACATTTTTTTAAAAATTATTATTATAAAGAAAGTACCTATAGTAATAATTTGTTTTTAAAGTATAATAACTAACTTAGAATTTGTATAAAAGTATTATGAACGATAATTTAGATTTATTTTAAATTAAAGATTAAACAATTTATTTGTGTTTCATGTAATTTCATGTATTTCAAACCTGACCCACACAAATGTGTGGGTAATATATCTAACTGAATAAAAATCTAATTGTTTTTTTAATAATTTTTTGAAGCTTTATATGATAATTAAAGTGTATGTTCAAAATAACACAAAATTTGAAACACTTTACATGTCTCAGGTCTTTGGGGCTATACTGAATAACCCACACAAATGTGATGGTTAGTCTTTAAATAGATCTCAAAATAAATATTTATCAGGCAATTACTTTATAGTTATTAACCTACACAAATGTGAGGGTTAGAGCTGAAAGGGATATCATGATAATTAGCTTTATTTAAGTTATAATATGGTATTTTATTTATAGATACAAACTCAGATTTATTTAATTATTCAGAAGGAGCCCTTGAAGACACACAAGTTAATGATTTAGCTTTAGAATTGTACTCTTTATTAATTAATACTGAACCAAATTTTATCTGGCGCCCTGAAGGATTAGGTAAGTATATATATATATATATATATATATATTATAATTTAATACACATTAGTGTTGCAACAATATGTAGTAATAGCATTTTCTTAAGAGGATTCGATACCGATCGTTTCTAAGGAATTTAGTATAAGCAATTTGAAAGAAATCTCCATACGTCCGTGCGTGGTATGTATTTGCATTGTAGTAAATTATCATTAGAGTGAGTGCTTCCGTCACCCATTTTAATACCACTGCCCACCGCACTATGATATTTCTTATCTTCAATGATGCCACGTGACGTGTCGTCCCGCACGTAACATATATGTTATTATTATTAATGTACCTATCAAAAATAATAAATATACATAATACGTCGATTATTATAGATATTAGATGGTATGTTATATAATTTATCTACTACCTACCGACTACCTGTATAGTATTTAGTTGTGAGTAAAGAAAAAACTCATAATTAAAACAATTTTTAATTATTTTTAACACATTAAACATAAAGTATCATCGTATATATTTTATAATAAAATACTAGTAAATAAATTATAACCCAGTCCTTAAAGGAAGTCCTCTCTCAAATCGTGAGTCAATTAGTTCAAGAAGAAAGCGCTCCATGTACAATTTTATTAAACGAGGCTCGATTTTCTTCCAAACTTCGTTTATTTTTCTTATTTTATCAACAATCATTTATAGAGTAAATAAATAAATAAAAATTTTAATATTCATAAAATACAAAATGACTTTTTTAAATCTAAATTAATACTAAACAAAATTTAAAATTATTTTTTAAGTTTTCTTTCAGTATATCTACTGAACAATTGAAAAATAAAAATAAATATCCTAAATCAATCAATGAGAGGTTCTGTTAGAGTAGAGCAGTGCTTCTCAACGGAGGCGATACCCCCCCCCCCCCCGTGGACGGTGAACATTTTTTCCGTTCAAAGTAACGTACCAAGATTTATCTGTAATTGTTTTCCATTTATCGATTTCTAAAATAAATTCGTGATTATGAAATATAAACTACATATATCAGAGGCAGTGCGTTATTATCTAATAACGAAAAAAAGAAATCGATTAGACATCGTTAAAAGAGGAGACTTACAGTTTCATCTCACAAATTTTGAACCAAACTTAAAAAAATTGGTTTTGAATCACCAAGTATTTCACTGATCAATACATTTCAAAACATTTAAATTATATTTAAACATAAATTTTATATTTTATTTTTATTATATTTACATTTATCTATACTATTTATTATTTAATTATAAACATTTCATGTATACTATTTTTATTTTAATGAAGTAAGGGGGGGGGGGGCGTTGAAAAACATTTTGATTCTCAGGGGGGCGATAGTCTGGAAAAGGTTAAGAAGCATTGCATTAGAGTTTAGGTGCTATTTTACTATACAAAAATATATTCACAGAATTTTACTTTGCTTCAAATTTAATTCATTATATATTATAATTATGTACGTCCATTAACTCTAAAAGTATCTGTGTTTTATATTTTTTTTACAGGCCACTGTTTAATTGAGAATGAAGATTTGATGAATAGAATTAAGTGTATATTTCCTTCTGCTAAAGAAGTTGAAGTACTATGTAGTTCCTGGGTTAAGTTTGCGGTTGAATGCAGTAATAATGAACAATATACTACGGCTATTAAAATAGTAAGTTTATATTTATTCTAATTGAATATTTATAAATGGACTTTCTTATATATTTTTTTAGTATGAAATATGTTTGAAATTATTTTTCATGCATTATCACTTTAAACCACTCACATTGCTCGGACATGAATATCTCAAATTAAATAAGTTCCATGATGCTAAACAATTATTTTTAAAAGTAAGCAAAAACATTTATACATTGAAACCATTTATATTTTATTCATCTTCATAGATGATTAAGTGTGTTATTATTTAACTAAGGCTAAAATGTTGAAATTTTATTTTTTTCTTAATATACCAACATGTAAGTCCATTAGTAGAAAATGTCTTTCAGACGATACAGATAATATTAATTTAGTTTTAATTTGCATTTTTGTGAATTTTTTGACAAATTTAACTTTAAATTCATTTTTAGGGCGATATTTTTAGTGTATTTTTAAAGTTTTTAAGCATTTATAATTTATCTTTTACCTACATATAATTTCACATAATTTTAATATAGTTGTAGTTTCGTTTTGTGCATTTCATTGCATTTTAGTTTTTTGAGCTAAAAATATTCAATATGCTAAAAGTAAAATTTTCATCTTCATCTTTAAATCTTTTAAGGAAATATGCCAACGAATTTGGTTGAGAAGTTTTTTTCTACAGATGATAAATATGGTAAAATAATATTCTATTAGTCTATTATTATATCAATAAAAATTATCCTCGTAATAGCACGTAATAAAATAAATTACATTTTAATATAAATAAATAGTATGATTATTATAGTATAATTTTTAAACGGAAATAAATATTTAATGTATTTTTGAAAACATTTTTGGAATATTTTTTTTATTTTTTATTTAATATTAAAAGCTCTTAATATAACTTATAATTTATTTTTAATAAAATTTAAAATTGGATGTTAGGTTTTTAGGGTTTCTCCTCACGATGTCATTTTTGTAAGCTATTTTACTTGTGCTTTACAAAAAATGGGCTGCAAAATACTGGATGGTAAATGCAATTCAAAAGATACAATTAAGGCTTTGGAATATATTAAATTGGCAAAGAAGTATGAAAACTCTAATTTTATGAATGATAAATTATTCAAACTAATAATTTGTTTCGTTTTTTTTAGGTATTTTATTCATTTGTCAAGCAATAAAAATAAAATAATTCGTAATTCTGCTAAGGAAGGTTTAAATCTTTGTGAAGTTCTAATTAAAAATAATACTAAGAACCCATAGAATAGTAGTACTAGTACATTATATCATGACATTTTTGATAAATTCGGAAGTATATTAAAATATTTTACCTCTTATTTGTGCTTGTGTTAAATATTTACTTGTGTGTTTACGATACTAAATGGTAATTTTATGTAGTAAGAATTACCTATTTCAACCAAAAACGAAAAAGGTACGATACCGTTTCCGCCAATCTATCTGCTATGATAAAACGATTATAATATATTCAATTTTTTTAGATTACACTATTAATTGTATTATCTATATTATTTTTAAGGTATAAAATATAGTTTTGACTTTAAATAATTGTATATAGTTTATGATAATGTTAAATATTAAAAAGTATTACAGTAACTAATAACTAAGGATCAGAAGTTATTGCATTTGCATGTTTTTTTTGCACCATTGGATTTATTGCTAAGTGAGCTAGAAATTCATTCCAAAATACTACGAAAAACATATCAAAAGTTTATAGTGCATATTTTTGCATATACTTGATTTTACAATTTTTTTGAACATATTTTATAATTTTTGAAGATTTAGTATGAAAATCGAAAAATAAAATACATACATTCATATTGAGAGAACTTTCTTGATATTCTTGTATCGTATTTTTAAAATTTCTATTTGACATTAAAAACAATGTTTTCCCCTATTGGTTAAATAATATATATATATATATATTTATAAAATATAACTACAGCTATAGTGTAGCCAGAGAGAGAATGCAAGTCGGTGGCTACCAAAACGCTTCGCAGTCTGTCCATGTTGTCCCATCAACACGACACAGCCGCCGTCACGGCATAGATTAAATTACTCTATGCATCACTGCGATGATATAATCATATAACTGTATTTCATTATCTCGTAAAGCGTGACTAGCGATTACGTCTTGTTTTTGTGACTGTTCCGCTGTATTCCTGTTTTATATTTTGCATTTGTTGTTTCGTAAGTAATTTGATTTTTTTTTTGTATTTTTTAATAAAATGAAAGAGCTAAATGCTGTTGATGTTTCATCGATTAAAAAAAATCCATGTGGCAAGGTAAGCACAATTTATATTTTTATTATTATTAAATTACATTAAAAAATAGTAGAAAGTTTCTTATATTATTCATATATTTTTATTCAGTATTATTTTACCATAACTTAAATTAATTAAAAATCAAAATTTGTTGTTTTCAGTTTGTTGGTTGTCGACAAAAGAGCATTATAATTAATTTGTACAAATCGAAAATGCTCGAGCAAGCCATCTGGCAGAAAAGATAAAGTATGACGACCTCATCAAACTGATGTCCAGGCAAATAGGTATCAGCCAATGGACTATATCAACTACTATATCTGAGAATAAGAGTAAAGTTACTATTTCCTCACCTAATAAGAAAAAAAATAGATTTAATATTACGGAAAAAGTAGACGATTTCGATCAAAATGCTATTCGGCAAAAAGTGCACGGGTTTTGGGTTCGTAAAGAAATTCCAACTTAGCACAGAATTCTTACTGTTATCAATGAAGATCCTAATTTACCAAATTTTAAACGTACTGCTTTACAATCAATTTTAAAAGACTTGAATTTTACGTACACTAAAATATATAGGAACAGTGCTTTAACGGAGAGAGCTGATTTAATCTGTTGGTGACAGAGATATATTGAAGAAATAAGGTATCACCGGGGCCGTGATCGTCCAATTTATTACTTGGATGAGATGTGGATAAACGCAGGTGAAACTATTACAAAGACGTGGGCCGATAATGCAGTCACGTTTCATCGATACGCGTTTATAAAAGTACTAACCACTGGCCAAAAGACTATTCGGTAAAGGAAAACGGTTGATTGTTGTCCACATAGGTTCCGTCTGATGGTTTCGTTGTTAGTGTTCGAGTCGAAAAAAAAACCGGGGATTACCACGACGAAATGAAAGGGGACACTTTTTTCAATTGGTTTAGTGGTATTTTACAATTATTAAAAGAAAAAGCTGTAATTGTGATGGATAATGCGTCGTACCATTAGAGGGCCGGTGTAGTTGGGTCTGAACTTAACTGGATTGTTCGATTGCATTTTGGTAGATAATGAGGTGGCGCCAATAGAGGAAATTGTTTTAGTAGCGAACTGTGTGTTAGGTAGACTTTACGTAGTCCCTGATGAGTGGTTCATATCGATATCATTAATTAACAGTATTTGATTAATTGACAAAAGTGATAGTGGCGGTGACTTACCGGTGGACTGTTTTGATTTTTTTGGTTGTGTTTGGAGATACAGTTTTGTTTTTCGTGAACGTAGATGTAGTTGCATTACGATCGGGAGAAAAGAGGAAGCGTACCGATTACGGCCCAAAGTCGGCTGCATGCCGCCGCCTTGGCGCGTGTCTTACAAGGTTACCCGATGCAAAGGAGCGCGCGACACTGGAAGGCTATAATAAACCGTAAAGTATATGTCCGGAACGTATTTATCCGGACTGTATCTCGCCGGAATCAAAAATTAGAAAACCGTATTTGCCCGGAACGTATTCATCCGGACCGACTTTGTCCGGAACGTATTTATCCGGACCGTATCTCGCCGGAATCTAAAGTATATAAACCATATTTTCCCGGGAAATAAAAGTTACAGAACGTATTTATCCAGACCGTATTTTTCCGGAATAAAAAACATCAAAACCCGTATTTTCCCGGAATGTATAATTCCGGAACGTATTATTCCAGAATGTATTTTAAATTGCCTATATCAAACAGTTTTTAGGCGCTAATGAGTCGTCTTCAACTTTGATAACTAAAGATAATAATATATTTATTTATTTATTATTAACAATACGGGCTGAGCCCAATTTACATAATATGTAACACTAATTAAATTTTATATATGATAACAACCATAAAAATAGTGACTTTTACTAATATACTAATTTAAAAACATGAAAACCAAAAAAAAATAAATAAAAAATATAACAATGCTACAGAAATGATGGATCATTATTTGCCATACGCATCATTCTAAGAATTGGCTGGTTCTCAGAATAGTTGGTGTTGCATTTAGGAATAAAAAATGGATAGATTCGACGGACAGAAGAGCAAGGGACTTTAAAGTTAATCATGGAAAGTAGGACAGGAGAGTCAATACAGCCATCTATTATTAGGCGGAGAAATTTCAGGTTAGCAATTTTTCTTCTATCAACTAATGAAAATAAACCAAATTTAATTAAAATTGGGTTATAATCATGAGGTGGATGGTCTATCTTTAAAATAAATGTTGCATATTTGAGGAATTTACGTTGAACTCTTTCAATTTGATCCTTACCACAAGAAGTGGAAGGATCCCATACAACAGCACCATATTCCAAAATTGAGAAGTTAACTTAAACTCATTACAAATTCTTTTTATAAAACCAAGTATTTTTAGGGCCTTGCAGCATATATTGTCCAAATGGGAATGGAAATTTAACTCTCGGTCAAACGTGATACCAAGGTCGAAAACTTTATTTTCAGATCTCTTTAAAGTATTAGCATTGATAGAGTAAGAATACTCAAATCTATCACGAGTTCTGTAAAAGGACATTGAATGACATTTCACAAAATTGAGTTCAAGATGATGTTCATTTGACCAAGTAACTAAAGAGTTGATATCATTTTGTAGAAGATAACAGTCATTAAGAGAATCAATTTTTAAAAATAATTTTAGATCATCAGCAAATAGAAGAAAATGACAGTGACTAATAACTTTTTTAATATTGTTAACAAATATTGCAAATAGTAAAGGAGAGAGATGACCTCCTTGAGGGACTCCAGAAGTTGCATCAATAATAACAGACTTACTACCATGAACATCAACAATTTGCTTACGATCTCGAAGATACGACTGAAACCAAGACAACAACGGTTCTCCAAAACCAGAATTGATAACTAATAATAACTTAAATATCCTTGTTAGATATCTTTGTCTGTTGAAATTATTATACAATATAGTAGAATATTTTTGTAGTAGCCCATTGCATTCATAGACCGAAAACGAGGTTAAAAAGTGTACTTATAAATAATTTTTTTGGTATAAATACTAAAAGGTTAATTTGTTTAAAAAAATAGTGGAATATATTCCACTATGATAGGGAACGATATTATTCTATTTGTGTAGGTGCATTAAAATAGTGAATGAATTCTTTCAATTAGAATTCATTTAACGTGAAGAATGTCAAACATAAAATTAAAATTACTGGTTTGCAAAATGGATATCATTGAACCAAGCGTCGGAGAACTAGGAATAATTATAAGGATTATTTAAAATAATTTTTTTGTACAACTAATAATAATAATAATTTAATAATACAAACATAAAACAAATAACTCTTATCATAAATCATTGTTGAACAATTTATAGAAAATTTATTTTTCATGAAAATAAATAAAATTGATAAAATGTTTCAAATAAAACTAAAAAACTAAGAAAAATACATATTACCACACCGCCTATCACCGATCTCCCCGATCTAGTGGCCGCCCAGTTTTAATAATTTACATAGTTAATTTTGGAACTGATAGCCGCATAAATGTTATTAAAAAAATCCATAAATGAGTAGTAGAGTATTTGGTGAGTCTTTTAAAATGTATCTATTCCACTTACTGGGATTCTTAAGATATAGGGAATAAAACTGTTATCAAGGCCGTTATAAAAACCATTTCGTTTTTGATAGAAAATTATAATTTATCAGAACACGATGTTCACAATCTGAAAGATAAATCCGGTGTTTCCAAATCATGCGCTAAAATAATTATTTAGGTCGAATCGCGTGCAAAGTTTTTTCGTGATCGTGCTGATTTGCGCGCGCAGTGGCCAGTTGAACCGGGACTAATTGTAACCGGGCAGTGTCGATCAAATTTCGTGAACCGATTTCAAACAAATGGTGACAGTTTCAACAAAAATCGCTGTATAAATTCAAAATTTCACGGTAAAAAAAATCACTGTTTCAATTCAATTATTATTTGATTATACATCATTAGAGGTAATAATTCGAAATATTAAATATCATCTGAAAATTTCGCCGTTCACTGAGATAATTGGCAGAGCAAAGCGACTCCTCTCATTACCCAGTGGTCGGGTGGTTTGTCGGTTGACAACAGCAATGCGATCACGAAGTTGGTCGAGTGCCCCGTAGTAGACAGCGTACCTCGTCGTTCGGTCGTCTTGTACGTGGGGCAGACGTACACCGGACCTAGCGTCAGTTCGGTCCTAATCACCGGCAGCACGTGTACGATGGGCATCGCGTCGAACAGCTGCTTCGGCCTGCACTCCTTTAGCACGCCTCTCCGGTCGCTCCACCTGGCCCCGTCCAGGAATAGCCCGTACACGTAGACACCGTCTTCCGCGGCCGCGTTCGGCACCACCGTCCTGCTCATGATCTGTGAACATTTCCGATGACATATGACGATGATTTTAAACAATTTAACATCGTACATATAGACGGACATCAAGGAGGCTTGAGGGGGGGACTTAGCCCACCCCCAAATATTGTAATAGCCCCCCTAAAATCGAAACTTTATTAGAAATGTTATTCATCGTTTTTATAATTATCTGTTGATTTTTTTGAAAATCGTAAAATAAGAAATAATAAAAAACTATTTATAATAGCATTAAAAATACCAATTAGTTCGACTACTTGCGAAAGAAGTTTCAGTGCAATGAAAAAAATAAAAACTTGTCTAAGGTTCAGCGATCTTTCAATATTATATATTGAAAATTATATATTGAAAAATATAAAAAGCGATGATATTTTGAATATCTTTGCTGATACAAATAGATATTTATCATTAAAATAAAATATTAATTATTTTTAAATATAGGTTATTTAGTGTTTTTTTTTTTTTTTTTTTTTTTTTTTTTTTTAACAGAATTTAAACATATCTATATTTTTAATAGTAATAAGGAGGGCTCGGGACTTATAGCACTTAAAATCATCAAAATAAGCGATTAAAAACATCATTATAAGCACTAAAATAAGCATTTAAAAAATTTAAAATTAAGCAAAAATAATTATTCAAAAAAAAAAAAAACTAAAATTCTAACTAAAAAATCAAACAAAATAAAAATAAATCATAAATCTTCACTTTTAAGATAGATTTTATGGATTTTCTTAGGGATTTTTCTGAAAAATAAAATGTAAATTGTTCTTTCTGTTTTTGATCATTCTGACGTTTGGAATATCTTTGTTAACCCTACAGCGATGCATTGGACAGTGACGAACTACATGACAACGTAGGTAAGATAAGAATTATTTTTATTTTTTATCCTATCAAAAACGACTTCACAGGAGAAAACTACTAAAACGTAAAAAGAAACTGGTCAAATAAGCAAAAATAATCAGAAAAACTGGAAATAAGCATTTTTTAAAAAAATTACTGAAAAAAGCAAAAAAATAAGGGTACTTTCAAATTTCATAATTGTACGTGTTATTTGTCATATTCTTCTATAGCACTCTGCTACATTTTAAGTCAATCCATAAAAATAAGCAAATGCTTTAACTCCCGAGCCCTGGTAATAAGTCTTATTTTTGCACTTGAAGGAGGTGTGGGGGTGAAAACCCTGTGGGTTATTTTACATTGAATTATTATAGCCCCCCAAATGTCCGCTTATGATCGTACAGTGAAATTATTAAACAATAATGATCCCCCCCCCCCCCCCCCCCCGTTCGATAAGTGATACATTTATACGATTTTCGCAGTTACAAAACAGTTTTCGGGAGAGAGGGGAAAAACGACCATTGCTCTCCCTTCTATACCCAACAATTGCTTCTCCTGGCGATCGGGTTTCCGATCAAATTACGTTGATTAGCACTTTTGTCAAAAAGAACAAAAATCATTAAAATTTAAAATACTTGAAAACAATAGAATCGGTTATTTGGAAATGAGAACATGTCCAATATTTTGACATTTTCAGATTTTTACGTAACAATGTTATTTGTTTATGAACTCATTATTTGGTGTGAAAATGAAATATATCCGTGTGTTTTTGTAGTAACAGCTGGCGCGTCAACTTTTCGTTAGTATTCTAACCATGTATATTATCGGCTGCATCCGAATTGCGTCAAAAAAAAAAGCAATGTTGGTTGACAACCGAATTGCGTGCGCGTATTTTTCGTGGAAATTCGAATTGCACGTGTACAAGTTTGAAAAGACGACCTGTTTTCGCCGATCATTTGAGTTTATACTATGGTAAATTTAATATAGTAATATTTAGTTAAGTATAATAAATTCGATAGTAATATGGGTTTTCTCCGGGGAATGAGATTAAATTAGTGAATAGCGATTAGAAATTATCATAATTTGTGATAAGTATGTAACAATATATACACAATTTGTAATTTTCGACAATCTATTAATAGTTAGCAATCAAACTGATCTAACGACAAAAAAAAAATGGAAATTAGTGTTATGTTTAGCGAAAAAAATAAAAAACTATATTTAATTGATGGCCATAAATCTCATTTTAACAAATATTTAAATAATAATATTCAAAGATGGGCATGCACAAAACGTATGTGTAAATCATTTTTTAAATTAAATGAAAATAGTGAAATTATTTTTAGTGTATTAAGTCACGACCACGAAAAAGATGATGTTAATATTTTAACTCGACAATAAGTAAGTAATAAATTAAAACGTAAAGCTTTGGAGGATCCGTTTGAAAAGCCATGTAGATTTTACACCGAGAATTACGTGAAGAAGATATAAGTAGTCTAACTACTACAGACACGATGTGTATAAGAAAAAATATTCACTATGCACGTTCAACTACGATTCCAAAGTTGCCTACAAATTTAGATGAACTACATTTGGCTCTAACAAATTTAGGTGAAATCAAAACAAATCGAGATGAATTATTTTTGCTAATTAATAATTCAGAAAAAAATATAATAGCTTTTTCAATACAAACTTATTATATTTTTTCTTAGTCTATTAAGGTTGTTTAACAATTTTCTATTTAAATAATAATGCGTAAAAATATAAACTTATATCAAAAATATGCATTAAAAATTGATAAATTTAAAAAAAAAACCGCGAAAGAAAATCGCACACGCAATTCGGAAACACCGATATTATCGTATTTCACGTACATATTTTGAAATATTTTTATCATTTATTACGTTAAACCACGTGGCACGCGCTTATATTTTTTCATACATGTATATTTAATCAATAGTAGTATATAGTAAGTACTAGGTAAGAGTTAAATTTAATGTTTGGATTTAAAAACTTATGAGGACACTAGGCGCTGTGCAATAAAGTGTTAAGTAGATATTAAGTATACAAGTAACTTGTAGGTACCTATACTTTAAAATGAGTAATATATATATAATAGAATAATATAATATTTCTAAAAATTATAAAATAGGTAATCAAATAAAAAAATAGTATTTAAAAGCAGTCACTGTAAATAAATAAATTTGCATGTATATTGTATGTTTAAAAAAGCAATTGGTGCCTCAGCAATTTTTTCTTTAATGTTATTACTTTTTACATAATAAATATTGATAAAATAGTAAAGTGAAAAAAAATACAAATATTATCAAATACGTAGATAACATTAAAATACTTACCTTATAATATTGATTCAATCAAACAAATGTAGGTACGCAAAATATATTCAGTGGTATACTAATGTAGAACATTAAAACTAGGCAGCTGAAACCGGCTATAGTATAGTATCCTATATTAGTGTTAACAATCTCTATAGTCAAACACAATGGATTTTCTTTAAATACTTCAAATTACCGTTTCTATTTTATATTGGTACTTGGTACTCAGTGGCGCAATAACCGGAGTGGATGGCGATGCCTAGAATCGGGGCCCTAAGACTCAAAGGGGCCCCATCATACTAGTAACCTGGGAGGGTGTTTTTAATGCTAAAGAATTAAATCAAATCTGTGATCATTTAAAATTTTGACCATAGTTAAATTTTATACCGATGAAACTTAGGCGTGCGCAGGGGGTATGCAGGGTATGCAACTGCATACTCTAAACATAGAGCCTTCTTTCTAAAATTACAAAAAATAAATAAAAATTGTGACATATTTGGTCTTATGTATATTATGTGATTTGGTACATTTTGATTTTTATTATATTTTTATATTCAGTCCCAGTTTAATTTATTTTTGAAACACAAATCATATGCTATAATAACAATTTAATGTGTTAATGAAATTAAGAAGTACAATAATTCAAGTGAAATTAAATAACTATCAACTACAGAACAAGAAATGGCTATAAATTAAAATCCTGAAAACATTATTGGTAATATTAAGAACTCAGCTGTACGCAGAATCGTTTTATGATTAATTTTGATTATTTATCAAATTTATTTTGTTTTTCATTTAAGTATATAATTACGTTTTTATTTATTTACCATATTTAAACGTATTACTCAAATCATTTCAAGTGTTATGTATTTAATTTTTTTTTTTTCGTAATTTATTTTAAATTTTAATTATGAAGACAGTTATAACGATTAAAAGATGGCTATTCAGTCATTTTTTTCAGAAAAAAAATTAAAATTTTAAAATTAAATAATTATTAAAACCAGAATTTCGAACGCTTAAATTAACTTTCAGTTACGGGGAGGGGTAGGTAGTGGCAGCTTTTTGCATACCTCGAAAAAGAGGTCTGCGCACGCCTATGCGATGAAATTATAATAATCAATAATACGTAAGGGCACAGTGTGGTACGTACAGACCGTGCAGTCCGCAAGTTAAACACTATAATATGTATTATTTTATATTATTATGTTATTTATATTATATAATGTTTTATAGACTATAGTTCTACAGCCATTGCCCATTACTTAATATTTTGTATGTAATATTATGTATAAATACTCAATACTGTTAACATTTTGAGAATAACAGCCCAATAGACGATGGTATCATACAGATTTATGGCGGGAGAGGTCAATATTTATTTCCGACTCCGATGCTTACCATAAACATTATTAATAGATTATAGAAATCAAGATACACTGGATATTTAAAATAGAAATAATAACTAAATAGTAATATGACAATTTATAAATGATACATCTATCGGTCTATCGTTAATGGTCTATAATACTGTTGACAATATATAAATATAATGGTTTTCTTAGGCTACGGTCCTATGAAGTTATTTTTAAATTCCATGTAAAATGAATTAGTAAATGATATACATTGATTACGTCTATTATAAACGTGAACTGTGAAGTACCGATATTAGTCATTGTGCAATACCTGCCTTACGTCGTAAACCGTCAACACACAGTATCACGAATGTTATAATTTTAAATATTTTAATTAATTTAATTAAATATTTATATTATGCCACCAAAAAGTGGTTCTCAAAAAAGAAAAGAACGAGCTCAAAAAAATGCTGAGTTGAAAAAATTACGAGGTTTTTTTGACAGATTTCTGCCCAACAAAAATGGTACATACCTATAAAGTAATTTATTAGTATGAGTAAAATAAACTATAAAGTCAAATAAATAATATTGATATTTTTATTGATTTTAATAATTTATATCTGAGTTATTATTGAATAAAAAAAAATGAATTACTTATTTACTAGATAAAAAAAAATCTAATAATTAATAGTATACCTACCTACAGTGGAAATTTAATAAACTATATCTAGTTATTGAAAAATAATAATAAACAATAAAACGAATCACATTACCCAATATATTATTATTTTTACAATAAATAGAGTAGAATTAAAAAAAAAAAAAGTTAAGGTTTTCCTTCATGATATTATTTTGGTATTCAGTCAACTTTCAAACAAAATGCATTACTTAATCAACAACAAAATAATATGATTTAAAACAAATATATCTAAATAAACAAATGTTCATGTAATATATTGTTTTTTGATAATATTAACTGATTAGGTATTTAGGTACCTATTGATATTTTTGTTTTTGATCTTATAATATTATGCATTATGCAAGTATAAAATATTTAAATATAAGTAACTTCAATTTTTAATATGTTTTTATGTTAAAAAAATGTTCTATTTACCTACTTATCAAATCACAAATAATTGAAAATTTTTAAACCTACAGTAACTTCTTCAAATATGTTGATTGTATTGGAAAATGGTGGCCAAGAAAATATTGGTGAAATTTTACAAACTGAAAATAGTGAAAATGCTATTGGTCATTTGTGTAATTCAGATGATTCAGCTTGTCCAGGTATTATTTTATAAAAAGTTAATCTAGTATTTCTTATTATTTTAAACATTTTTTGTAAGCAAAAATAATTCTGCTCTAGCTGAAAAAGTAATTGACAACAGCACAATTCTTGTTAAATCTACTGCAACTTCTGCGAGTGAGATAACTGCGTTGGAAAGTAGTGTTCAAGAAAATATAAATGAAATTGTACAAACTGAAAATATTATTGGTCATTTTTTAATTCATATGATATTCAGCTTGTCCAGATATTATTTATTAAAAAGCAATCTGGTTTTCTTAATTAAAATTTGTGTATGAGAAATATTCAAATACCTACCTACCTTTTATTTCCTATATTCAATATAAATTATAATACAATTTTGAATGATTATTATTAAGATATCATTATTCAGATTTATCAAATTAAATATGGTATAATATGTTTAATAACCAGTTATCAATAATAAAAATAAAAAACCTATTAATTATTAGTTTAGTACATTTGCTCATTTTGTCAGCTGGCATATTTGAGAAATCATTATATTAATTCTGTAGCAGTTTTAAATATAGTAGGTATAGTGTGTTATGCATATTACATGTAATACAGTACCTAATACATTATACATAGATTTATATTTTATACTTTTAATATATATTATAAAGTTTTTTTATTTAAATTTTTCTTTTTCAATAAATTTTGTAATTTTGTTGTTATTAATTATTATTAAAATATAACCAGAAATAATTTACATTATTTCGCTAATATTAAATACAAATTGTGTCAGCATTAAAAAAAAAAAAAATTGACTACAAATACTTAAGTAATTATAGAGCCCCATATTTACTTTGTCTTCAAAGCCCAAAGATCCTAGTTGCGCCATTGTTGGTACTATGATACTATAGAAATAATAATCTCGCTGATAGACAAGTACCTCTACCCCGCTAATACGAGTAGTATGCCATATATTTTGGTAGTGTTGTTATTTATTAATTACATTTATGAATTATATATAAATAACTTTATTATACCCATTACTCAGTATCCATGTCCACGAATTACATACTATTCGTGGTTATTCCTATGTCGTAATGAGAATTAATCATTTTTATTTTAAATAACAATTATTTGTCATACAAAAAAAAATCCATAAAATATCCAAGCGCGATCAGATGTAAAACTCTTTGAGCCCGGCTCGGCCCGAAAAGTTCTACCAAAAAAAGCCTAACCCGGCCCGGCCTGAAAATTTTTACGAAAACAAAAGTCCGATTTAGCTCTCATTATTTTTTTTAAGGCCCGGTCCGGTCCAATCTCAGTACGGGTCGGGCTTTTTGATGACCGAGTTGGGCCGGCCCGGCCCTTACAGGTCTTTAGTATGTATAGAATGATTGCACCGATCATTATTAAGAAGTAAAAATAAGATATTAGTTATATTTAGTACTCTGAGACCAGTAATTTTTTAAAGGTTTTCTTTACAATTAACGAAAAGTTATCAAAAATAATAAAATGTATAGCATACTGGATTTCGACAAGATCGAATTTTTGTTTTCTTCGTAATTCAAAAATTAATAATCATTGAAACTTGAAATGTTCGCTGAATTATTACTATTCGCTATATATGATATAATTTGCAAAATATATTTCTGAGCTGTTTATAGAAAATTGAAATTATCATTTTTTTTTTGGATATTATTTTGTAAAATGTCGATTATAAAACTTTTACAATTGTTCGAACATTACATTATGAAAAAATAAACAAGTTTTATAGCAAAATACAATTTGACAAATTGGATATTTCAACGAATTTCGAATAAACTATGTATTCATCGAATTATTTATTTAGTACTTATAATAGGTAGCATTTTATATTAGCGTATTTCATTAGATTTTATTATTTTATTAGACATTTCATAGTTAAGAAATATTTCAATAATATTTGTGCTGTTATAATTACTTGCAATTTTCGATGTAATTATACACATAAATTTAGATTTCTTTTTTATTTTCCTCAAAAATTAGAACACTAAGGCTGGGGCCACATGGACGCACTAAGTACGCGCGTTGCGACGAACGTACTATTTAACGCGCGCACTAGAGCGGGCACACGAGCGTCGATATGACGTCCGTTAAAAATTTGTTATTATTTTTGTATATAGTATCTACTTGGTTGTAAAGACGTAGTTATACTATGTATTATATACGTATTTTATACGTTTTCATACTATTTTCACCAAGTTTTTTTTAAATATGGACCCAAACGAAGTTTTTTTCCTTTAGTTCTTTAACGTATTTATACCTAAAACAAAAACGGACTAAAAGGGAACATTGGGTTCATCCAATTATTATGAACAATATAAAAATGTTCATTACGTGAAGTTGTATTATAAACTTCGAGAAGATTCGTCAAAATTTTTTAACTACTTCCGTATGTCTGTAAGAACATTCGATGAATTTTTACAGTGCGTCAAAAATTATATTCAGCTACAAAATACCAACATGCGATTAGCTATACAGCCCGAAGAAATGTATAATATTATAATTAATTATTTTTATTATTATTACACGTGGACGGGTGTTTAGAAACGTCTGGATACGTGCGTACAGCGTACGAAAGTGCGCCCGTGTGACCACGCAACTAACGTTCACATTTAAAAACAATACTAATTTAATTTTGGCGTTGATATTTTCGACGGCCGTTGTACGTGCGTCGAAGAGATAATACGTCGATAAAATTTGACGTCCGTATTAAAGTGTGTTACTCGTGTGTCTGCTCCCATAACCGATAATGTAGTCATACGAAGCGCGTCAAAAAGTACGTGCGTATCGACGCATTTTGTACGCTCGAGTGGCCCCAGCCTAAAAGTTCAACCTAATTTACAAATAAATTTGGTCTTACTATAATATTATCCACTCATAAAATTATAAACTGATTTACTTCTTTAACACAAAATGTTTTTTTTTTTTTTTTGAAGTAATGATACAGTTATATACTAATATATACGTCTTTATTTTAACAAAAGATATTTACAATCTGTAATTTAAAATAATAAATAAGTAATTTACAAGTTTATACAGCTCGTTAATTAGTTAGTGGAGGAAAATGTTCATTAACAACATAATATATATATACCTATTTAAAATGAATTGCCTAATTGTAATTGCCCATTGTATGGGACTATATAGAACGCTGAGAATGATATATAAATTAGAGGATACCTATATATAGGGTTACCATACGTCCAGACAGTCTGTCCGGATTGGCGTTCGGATTTGAAAAATGTCCGGATTTTACAAAGATAATCCTTTAACATGGTTATATTGATACAAAATATTATATCAGGTAACAGATTTTCGTGTTCACTCTGTATAAATACAGATGTTTTAACATATTTAACCTAATAACTCTTATGTAGACATTTTATTCATAGACCTAAGTAAAATTGTACTAATGAAATAACAATATTGTTTATTTTCAACCCCCCCCCCCCCCCCCCCCGTGAAATAGAACTGATGTCCGGATTTGGTCTAAAAATATTATGGTAACCCTACAATTTATAATATATATAATATAATAATTTTAATAAATTATTTTAATAATTTTAATAATTTTAATTTTTTCTATATATTATATAGATGGATATCGTAGTGATACATTATTATGCTCTTTAATGATAGTTAACGTATTCCGCTTAATAAGCCGTCTTGAATCAATATAAGGTTTCAATTTTTTCGGTTCAATATTAGATTTTCATAAATTTGATGAATTAAATGATAAATTATAATTAATTAATTGACATTTTTGGATTTATAATATAAATTCATTTTAGAGCCCCCTATACCTAATGTTTACATTCATAGGTATAACATATTATTTTAGTTTTGAAAAATGAACATAACTACCAATGGCTTAGATCAAGAAAAATAAGTTCCATCAAATACCAATGGTTTTGATATTAATACACAAAATTAATAAGCATATATCAAATAATTTAGTATTTGCTAAATTTAATATTTTAAAATTATATTATTAAAATTTAATATTAATATTAGTTATGCTAATTTAATTATTTTATATTAATTTGATAAATCAGTACAATTCAGTTGTCATAAGCTTATCAAAATATAAAAATAGTCAATGGAATAAGTTACCTTAAAATCGAATGTCAGTAAATCGATTGGTATCTTATATTTTCTGGCAAAGTTTTGTTGCGCTCCAGTCAAAAATGCTTGCGTGAAATAAAATCCAGACAACCAAAATATATCTGGGGCTCCATGAACGTACCATTTCTAAATTCAAATAATTCGTGAGGTTAATATCAGGTATGTTCTGAACGTTAGTGAATGATAATAATTCCATTTATATAAATTTATTTTTTTATTAAAGAATATTAATCATTCGTGAATAAATAATATTTTGTAAATTGTATTAAATATTTTGAACACTATTTACATAAAAATGTGTATAGGTATTTAATGAGAGTTCAAGTTGGCAAAACAGTAGTTTGGTGGATGCAATTTATTTGTAATTAAGTTTTAAAGGGCTTTCCTGTCTAAAAAGTTATTTGATAATGGTTAATATTGATGGTTTTATCATAAAATATTGGTCCATTGGCTATAAAAATGTTAGTTGTTTTTGACAAAATTTTATGCAGATTCATTTGCTAAAACAATAATGATAGAAAAATATAAAATGTAAAACACATTCAGTTGATAAATAAAGATGATTTAAATATTTTTTCATACTTAAAACTGTTATTCTTCTAAACTGTTTTAAAAATTCTACTTAAATCTCTGATTTAATAATAAATAAAAAAGTTTTATGAGATACATATATAAATTATAAACTCCAGCTATTTATAAATATTGCACGCAGGCAGTCTGATAGTGCGCACGCATTTATACGTCGCTCCCGGATTATGTCCAGCTCAGAAACTTCTACCGAACAGAAAATTCTATATTTAATTTCATTCGTCGAATTGACACTCTTGCTACAAACTTGCAAGGCGATCAACCTTCGGGACCAATACTTCTCTAAATCAAGTAATATCGTTAATATTATTTTATTTTAAATATTAAATACATTCCACTATTGTGAAACGCATTACAATCATAGTCCAAACACTAAACAGACCACAGGCACCGTCACGCGCGGTGACCTTTGGACTCCGATAACACTGACGATATGGCCTTCGAATTGTGTCCTCAATTAAAATTTTCAATAATCAAATAATCAGCAAAAAACTAACCGCAACTAACACTACAACTGGTGATTTTTCCGATGACAAGGCACTACTAGCCATCCATTCCGACCCTGAAATAGCATCAAGCCTCGTACAAAATCATCTCAATCTCTTATCAACCTGGTATAAAGACTGAGGGATAAAAATCAACAAAAACTAAATCCATACATTGCACATTTACACTAAGGCAAAAAGTCTGCCCTCTCATCTACCTCAACAATGTACTTTTCCCAACCACCCAAAATGTCCGATACCTAGGTTTACATTTAGACCGCAGGCTAACTTTGGTAACTCATACCCAAAACAAAAGACTTGCCTTAAATAACCGCTCTCGCCAATTATGGTATCTCTTCACGTCACAACATATCAACCTAAAAAACCAGCTCCTACTATATAAACTCATTCTAAAACCGATCTGGACATACGGTATCCAACTGTGGGGTGCAACCAAACCGTCCAACCCAAATAAAATACAAGTCTTCCAATCAAAATGTCTACAATAAATAACCAAAGCTCCTTACTATGTATCTAATGACACTCTACATAGAAATCTATAGTCTGTTCAGATCAAGAGTGCCCAAACTCGCGGATGTCTTCCTAGAAGCCGATAACGGTCGGGCACCCATCAATATCTAGATGCTCTATTATTCGTTGTTATAGTTCGACCGCCGTCGTTGTTTATCAAAAACAGTCCGTGACTGCCGCCTTGTATACAATTATTAAAAAAAAAAACCTTGTTATTCAAAATAGAACTATAGCGTGGTGTTACGAAAAGAGTGTGGTAATACAGTTCACTACGTATAACAGCGTCGTAACGCGTCGGCATACTACAACGTTCCTAATGGAAAGGACACATGCGCAGTAAAAACCAGTTTTCGTCCAAATGACTGGGCACTCTTATTCTGAATAAACTATAGCCATTTCAACAGTCCAAAACGTTGCAAAAACTTTCTACAAACGCACGCACTCCGAATTCCACAACCATCGTAATCCATTGATTTCCAAACTATCCACCAACGCTATTCCTGGTGACCCCAGAAGGAAACTTAAACGTACCTGGTGTCGTGACCTACTAAATTAAAATGTATCTACCTTTATTTCCCTTTTATTTTGAATTCAATATCATTCTTTCTCACAAGCACATTTAAAATAAAGTCCTACCCTTGAGTGCCTTCAATTGATGGCTTCTTATCTCCTGCTCACTCAAGCCATGTCTCCTTCATCACATACGCTTATTGTAAAATAATAATTACAGCTCGTGTATTTAATAATAAATGTTAAAAAAAATATATAAATATGATAAATTAAATCAAAGATTTGAATTATTATTATTCGCACAAATCGTATCTTTATCGTCTATCTATCGATATAATATCATCTATATAATCGATGGGAAAAATAATAAAATATAAATATTTAAAAAAGTTATATAAAATATATCTTACTTTCAAGAATTCCATTCTTTGTAAGAAGTCTTTTATATAACTCCCCAGAGGCTTTAGAGATGGATATGAATTTCTTGACCAAGTTGTCGGAAGTTTTCCGATTATTATGCTCTGACAAAGCTCTTCTAGTTCATTAGATATCAATATTTGACCTACACATATATTGAATATTATTGACATATATTGAATTGACATGGGTTTTAGACGCATTTTTTTAAATTTTCAATTATTATCCAAATAATTTATTGTTTGGAATGCTCAGTTTCATTTTACACAATGCATTAGGTACACGAATTACGTAAGTTTATTAAAAGATAATATATGTATATATGTTTATAATTTTGTTTAAAAACGTTTCAAAAACCATTTTTAATATTGAATCGTAAAAAATAATAGCATATTTCAACTAACAGTGGAATTGACGCTGTATTTATTGTACAAATTATTTAAATACCTATACCGTATATGTAAAATTTTTGTTTTTCTTTAAACAACCTAACCTATATTAAATCACTTTAAAAATACGTATTCCATTGACTTCCAATAAACATTATAAACAATGGTATTACCTTTGATAGCCTTTTGAGTATTAATGAGGCTCGATCTTATTACGTTCAATAGGTTATTAAACCGCCCCATTTCCTGAACCAGAACCGTATTCATGGATTGATTATAATTAGTAGGGTATTTTTCTAACACAGTTGTTGTATCGAAAGGCATTGGAAGTTTTTCAAGAACATCTGTAGTAAACATTATTATTAATTGTTCTGACGATACTTCATTTCCACCACTTGAAATATCCATATTCTATATTTAAACATAAATATGAATTAATAACATATACTCGTAATACAATTACAATAACATAATAATAAAATAATAATTTTCAATTCGTAATAAATATATTTAAATACATAGGTATATGCGAAAAAGAGGCCTCTCCGATATAGACAGAGTTGTACAAGGATAACCAATAAATTATCTAGATAAGATGATTGATTTTTAATTTATCTAGATTAGATAACTAAATAACACTTAAATTATATATATATATATAGATATATAGATATTAGATAAAAGATAACCACTTTTATCTATATAAAAAAAACAGATAATTAAAATATAATGTTGTATTTCAAGCTTACTATAGGAGGTTCTATTTCCCCTGTAATTTAATGTATCTATAATATAAATCACACTCCTGGAAGTATAATGGCATAACTCAAAAAATGTCGATTTTGAGTTGGCACTACTACTGAAACCGCGAGAACGATATCTACTATTTGCGCTAATCAGTTTCTTTCTACCTTATATTTTTACCACCTGATGACGTTAAGTTCCGTTTGTTTAATGTTCTGAAATATTTAGTACAATATAATACAATCGGCATAACTATAACTAAATTAGTTCCATCATAGAGTTCAACGTCGAAGGTCGTTCGTTCATTGGCATATTTAGACTTTTGCCGATTGTTTACTGATGCAGGTAATTTTTTTTTTGATTATGCCTTTAAATCTTAAGAATTTTTTGAGTTGTGCCTTTTGCTAAGTAAGAATATTATTGATATATGCCTATATATTTGTTTGATTTTACATAGTAAATAATTAAAAAAGATGACTTCGTTATAAAGAATTAAAAAAAATTATCAAACTTTCATATTCTAATATCACTACCTGCACTATCTCCTTGACACAATCACGGCACCTAATAAACCTGAAAATGAAGCTGATATTATTGAGGATGAATATTCAGACTTTGACGATACAGATTCGGATCCAGATCATGTACCAATGAATTCTAAAGACTTGTTGTCTACGCAAGATGAACATTTCGAAAACGAAATTGTAATGGCTTCAGATAATAATAAAACTGATCCAAGAATTAATGATAAAGGTATAATTATTTTTAATTTTATATATTATTATTTATTTAACTAAGTTCCTCAATCAAAGTTTTTATTTACATATTAATTCAATTTGTATGTTTTAGAACTCAAATTACCCAAAAAAGTTATTACCAAATCTCTTCAGTAGAAGGATAATGTTAGAAAAGCAAAAAGAAATTCTGGTCAGGAGTACATAATAAGAAAAAATAAATTTGTTCCAAGAAGAAAAATAAAGCTACCATGTGAAGACAAATGCAGACTCCACTGTAAGACTAAATTTACAGAAATAAAGAGACAGTCAATTTTTTAAAAATGTTGGGCCATGGGAGACATTAAAAAACAGCGAAACTACAATTTCAAAGCGATAAAGACAGTAAGAAGAACAGGTACGTTAGGGCTGATTCAACCTGTAATAGGTCAAACAATCAGGTATTTTATCTCAAGTGTGGATTTAATTCTGAAACATAAGAGTGTGTAAGTATTTTTTTATGACGACTCTTGATATCACCATTAGAATGATACGGACAGTACTCGAAAAGCAATCTGTAATGGGTGTTATTGATAGTGATCATAGGGGAAGGATAGTTGGCAAAGTTATACTCGAAGACAACTTAACTCAAAGCGTTAAGGACCATATTAACTCCATCCCGCGAATTGAAAGTCATTACCTTCGTATACGGGAATTTATAGAAGGCGGTAAGACATTGACATGGTTGTATAAAGACTACAAACCACTATCTGAAGCCAATAATGAATCGTTTGTAAATCTATGCACAGACATATTTTTAACACACAGTTTAATATTTCCTTCTTTATGCCAAAAAAAGATCAGTGTGAAGAATGCGAGTCAAACAAAAATAATGAAAATGAGCATTATGATAATACGTAATTTTTGAGGCATTTGGAAGAAAAAAACTTGCACGTGAAGAAAAAGAATTTGACAAAAAACGTTCATCAATTGAACTGGTCTGTGCTGTCTACGATTTTCAAGCAGTTCTCACTGTTTCGCAAGGTGACGTTTCAGTCTTTTATTATATTAGTAAAGTGGGCAATTATAATTTCACAGTTTGTGAAATACAAATCATGGAAACCTTTTATTATTTATGTCATAAAGGTTAAGCACACAGAGGACCAAACGAACTTGCTTCTTGTCTTTTCAAATTTATTCAGACGAAATCTGAGGAGAGAATGAACGATTTCGAAATAATTTTCTATTCAGATAACTATGGAGAGCAAAATAAAAATAAATTCATTATTAGCTTGTATCAGTATGCTTTAAAAATATTTCCAAACTTGAAAACAATCACGCACAAGTTTTTGATTCGGGGACATACGCAAAACGAGGGTGACTCCATTCATTCGGTCATTGAAAAACAAATAAAGTTGTCCCTAAAATCGTCACCTATTTATACTACATATCAATACGTACAAATTAAAAGAGATTCTAAAAAGAAAGCTCCACTTTTTAAAGTTGAAGAACTTGCTCATTCAAACTTTTTGAATTTCAAGGACTATACTTCACAGATAGGAAATAATTTCAATATGAACACTAACTCAGAATCAATACATTTTAATAATATCAAGGTCCTAAAACTGTTTCGTAGTCAAACAAACTCATTTGAATATAAGACATCATACAAAGATGATACGTTCAAAACAATTAACTTTGCAAAAAAGAGGAAAACTAGAGTCAGCAAAGACTTAATAGTCGCGGATGAAGCATATTTGAAACCTTGTTGCATCGTGCCAAAGAAAAAAGAAGATCTCATGAAATTATGTACCAAAAACCAAATTCCTCCATGATTTCACTCGTTCTATAAGAATTTTTAACTTCTTTATGGTAATATTTATTAATTTTAACTAAGTCAAAGTAGACTGTGATAAATATTTTTTATAATTTAGTCAAAGTAGACTATACTGATAAGTATATTTTGTTTTTATTTTTAAGATTGTTCATTACTTATTACAATTTGAACTTGGTAAATTTTAATTAATTTTAACTATGTCAAAGTAGACTGTGATGAAAAAAATTATGTTTTTAGTTTTAGAGTGTTTATAATTAAAATTTAATTTTGTATTGTGTTTATAAAAAGTCTTTTTTTATTTTGATACCTAAAAATTATCCACATACATTTAATGTAAAAGACTGCTACAAAATTAATATAATATAACACAATAAAGAAATCTAAAATAATTGTTAGTCGTAAACGAGAAATATCAAACGACATAACTTTGAATATTTAGGGGAAATTAGTGATACAATGTAGAATAAAAAAGACATAACTTATTTTGCATGTAGTTAGGAAATGCAGGTATTAATAAAATCTTTATAAAAATAATCTGCAATAAACGATAACTATTTAAAAAAAAAAAAAAAAAAATTGAATTATCACAAATAACTATTTTGTCAGAAATAATTGAAAATTCTCAAAAGCATTAATTGCATTTTCCCATTAATGTCATGTTTTGAGTTAGGCCATTACACTTCCAGGAGTGCGAGTATAAACACAATTAATTAAACCCGACCATTGATTTTATACTATTCTTAATTATTATTTATGACTAGGGAAAGAATTTATATGTAAATATATATTTTTATTAAAACGAGATATTTTAGATTCGATAAGAAATGTTCATGATTTAAATCATTCCTATTAATAGGGTGCTACTTTTATTTTATATATTTTTACATATTTCACTAATTTATAAATATTTTTAAACATATTTTATCATTTCATTATTCATACGTCTTCTTCGTACAAAAGTACAAGAAATTATTTCAAATTTAGATTCAGTAACTTTTATCGCTATTAGAAAAGCTCAAAATATTATGCAAAATGAAACATTAAAAACTAATTTAATTTTCATCTCAGTGAATTTTAATTTTATTATGTATTATGTATTTATAATGTATGTCCTTAAATGAAAGTATGCAAATTGTCTAATCAACGATTGCAAAATGAAAACTCGTAATCGGACCAATAGGAGATGTTGTAAAAAAGAAAATTCATACTATTATAGAAAAAAATTCCAGGCTATATTGATTTTAAATCAATTAATGTCATAATGAGTGGCATACACCCTTCTAAAAATTTGGAATTATCGCCTTCTAATATTATGCGCTTCAAATATGCTTTAGTCAACCGATTTAAGTTGATGTGGAACGATCATTTAGCCGTTTTAAAAATATTTTCAGATTCAATAGGCGACATTTAATACCTATTTGATAATTTAAAAGATATTGTAATAATTCAATGCAACAAATTATTTTGATAATTTAATAATTATTTATTTATTTATTTTTTTTTTTAATTAAATTTTTTTCCAACATATTTGGATGTTTTTAGCACATAATTTATAAATTATATTTACATACATATGTACATATTTTGTAATCAAATCAATGCCCCGATCAGATAAAGTTCCTAAATTTATGTATTTTAATAATAATAACATAAATTGCATTTAAATATCATTGCCTAGACATTACTTAGGTAGTTACGTTACTTGAGTACTAAGCACGGAAGTGAGTAAAACGTCACTTTCTTGTTGTTCTTTGATAAGATCTGCGTTCTTGTTTAGTCCAAATATCGTTGGGTGGGTAATTGAAGGTAATTCTTGAATGTAATCCACAAAATCATCGTATTTCGTAAAATTGGGACAAAAGTATACTCCTGTAGTTACACAGCATAATTATTTTAGAGAATTGTTTAGATATCCGCATGATGCAGTCGAAGGTAAATATTTTTACACATTTTTGAATTGTTAAATTACCAGCTGTATCAAATTTAAAGTTTTTGTATTTAACGATTTCTCGCTTGGTGAAATTGTTTAAAATTGTAGCTAAACATCGGCGATCCCAATCGTCGGTTACGCGGCCACCGTAATTGCATTCACCGATTAAATAACGTAATGCATCGAATTGAATACTTTGATATTCGTTTAAAAAGTTGTTCAGTTGCATAACGCTTATTTTGAGGTCAGTCTCATTGAATTCGTACGACCGGTTCCATCCGATTGGCCCGAAGTGACGTCGCTCTTGAATAAGGGTATGGAAGAAGCATAGCCCGAAAAGCATCTTTTTAAAATTTTCGCTTTGTTTACAGCCTTCAAAAAAATCTTCATTTGCAATCGGGTCACTTGTAAATGTTCTATATGCAATGCAATAGTCCATAGTGAGATATATAATATGGCATTTTAAAAATAAAACATATTTCTGATTTTTTTAAAATATTTATTTGATCTATAGGTTACCTGTATAAATTGGATCGAAGACCCTTAGGCGGTTCATTAGTAATTTTTATACTATTTTGCAATATCGATACCGGGAAATACTCAACAGGATACGATGTCAACCAAAGTCTAAAATCGGGATGGGTTTGGTCAGCAGAAAACTTTTCACATATCTATTAAAATAAATATGTCATAAGTATAAAAGAGCATAATAGATAAAACATGATTTTATTTTAATAAACTAACGTCACATTTTGAAACAAAATTGCTAGCTAAAATATCATTTAAATATAAATTAAATCATATAAATAATTTTTTTGAATATTCTTTCAAAATCAATAATTTTAATATTGTATAAAAATCAATTATAGTATTATATTTAGTGGATACTCGGTACTCATGGTTAATTTATATTTTATACATTCGATAAGGTAGTGGGAATTATATTATTCCAAAATGTATTACATTTTGTGTTATATGTTTATGTGTTTTGTGAAATTGAGATTTTAATTTATAACAATCAAATCCAATAAAAGTTATATACTAGTGAAAATTAACAAAATAATATGGTTTACCATTTCAAGCTGTGTCATCCAACTTTGAGCTAAATGACAATTTTGTAACATCACCCAGTTACCCATTCTGGTAGCTTCAGTGATGAGTCTTAAAGCAATTGGACCTTGTCCCTGACCTAATGATAAAGCCGAAAAACGAGCACCATATTTCTATGACAAAAAGATTAACATTAAATTAACGTTGTAAATTTCGTATTGAAACAATTGTGTATACAGTTTTACAAATTATTTAGTAATACCGTACAATGACAATGCGTACACACCATTTTTTCCGAAAACTTAAGCAACATTGCAGTTGGATCTGCACCTGGCGTTAACACGAAAACCAATGGCGTTAAAGAATTCGAATCTTCAAACGTTGAGTCCAAATCAAATGGCGGAGGTTCTGTGAATTTTTGCTCTAACATCGAATGATCTATTTAAAAATGCATATTCAATTACATATACATTTAAGTATGAAGATAAGATAAGAATATAAAGATAAATATGATTTTCTTTAGGTAATTATAATTATAGTGTCTCTAAACTAACAACAATAGCAGGACCGACGTTAGCTTTTACTAGGCCCTGGGAAAAATATATCGTGAGGCCAGGGCCGTATTTAGGGGGAAGCTACAAGGTGCTGTTGCCCCGGGTGGCTGAATATGAAAGGGCGGCTAATTTTTTATATTTTCAATATTTAATGATCTAATATTTTTAAAGTGAAAATTCTTTACAAAATAATAAGTGTATCTCAAAAAAAAAAATATATATCACCAATCACGGCGTCACGACACACACACACACACACATACTCGGTAACGGTCGAGTACTGTCGATAGATCCAAAGATTTATAAACAATCTATCCTTATGTTGACATTGCACTTAGAATGTTTTTATGTACAGTAGCAACAAATTGTTCTTCAAAAAGATCTTTTTCAATTCGTAGAAATTTGTATTTGGTATAATGAAGCGTTTTTAAATTATTGCTCCCTGGTGTCAAATTTCTAAATACCGCCCTGCATGAGGCCCTTATATAGGAAGGACAATTAGGGTATATCCCAAAAACATTGATTCTAGAATAATATGACATTCGAGCAACGTGCTTGATCAGATATAAATTCCTATGATGTATCTTTATCGTATCATCAATAAATGAATAAAATCTAATCTAATAATATCGTGTTTTCAACGTAATATTTTTCGTGGTTTCGATTGACGGCCGTGCTTGCAGGGGAACAATCGGTGACAGTGTCTTTGAAACAGTAACCATAAACTTCAAAATCCCCGTAAAAATAATTATTTATATAATATGTATCCTCTATAATAATGATAAAGAATACAAACTCTCATTTTTCATACATCATTATTTTAAGTTTATATTATTATATAAAAAAAAACGTAAAAAAAAAAGTTCCGAGTTATGAGGCCCCGAGCAAGGGCCCTGTTTGCCCTACCCTCGTCGCGCCGGCACTGAACATTGGAGAATTAGTGATAAAATTAATATGCATAAGTTTGCTTGAATAACAGTACTTAATGACGGTTGTATTGCATATTAAAATATGGAAAGAAAATATTAATTTTCACAATTAATTAATTTAATATTTATAAATATATATATATAGTTTTACAATTCAGTAAAAATGCCTCGTGTTAAAGTGTAATTGCATTAAAAATTTATAAATATACTTAATATTTCTTAAAATAATACTTATCGCATAAGATAAAATGGTGTTTAAAAATACAAAGCTATTTTACAATATTTAATGCAATTTATGATTGGTCGTCCCAGCATGTTTATGTACCTATTCAAATCGTTGTATTCCTTATTTTTAATGTTAACAAATGACTGATTAGGTCGTGATTAGTATTATTAAATAATGAAACTTACGAGAAATAAAATATCGAATAGCTGGTATAATTTTATCATATCGAATTACACGTAGTACAAGACATTTTTGAAAATAGTCGAGATGATTGTCCCATGGATCAGGGAAATTAGCCAAATGTGGTTCTAATGAATCATATAACTTTTTCCATTCATCTGTGTTAGCTTCAAAATCAGCTTTTATATTCTGAAATGTACATTTATTGGTTCAGTTAAATGCATTTTTAAGTTTTTAGTGGGAAGTATATGAGAAACTACAGTAATAAACTTTTTTCCATTTCATACCTCGAATTTATGAAGTTTATCAAGTCTACACAATTCATCCCAATTTTTATTTGGTAACCAACTAGTATTATTCTTGAACGGGTTATCCAAACTAACGCCTCCTGTGAGGAAAAATACCCATTCTTCCATGTTGATTTTTTCAGATAAATTTATAGCCATCATCAGCGATAACAATAACTTATCCTAGATTTTAAAATTATAAAAATTATATATATTGTAAATGTTTTATTTAACAAACTCGATTTTTATAAAACGAAGCGTAGAAATATTTAAGCAAATATTATAGACGTATTAACTTTTATTATTATTGTTGTTTTATTATTTAAATTATATTATATAAATTAAAATTGTAAATATTATGAGTTTGAGAAAATTTTTTTTAGATAACTTTCAATAAATGTAAAATTTTACATTTAAGAATGTATGATATGACACGAGAACTATCATAGCATTCATAACGATTACCGATATTATGTGTCATAATAATATTAGTTATAGACATTTTATACAATATTTTATATAGGTAACTAACCAATAAGACTTACTTTTTCAAATAAACTTCTACAAATGTTAACATACAATGAATAAGTAAAATATTTAATCAACTCGTAGGTTCTTTCATCAATGTTCATACGTTTAGGACTATTCTTTATAGCTATGGTGAATAAATTTAAGAACCACGTAAGAGAATATTGGTACATAGGATCAATTTTTGACAATGTGTCAATGGTGAAAAATAATTTCATTGAATGCGTCGCAACTATGCGATATTTTTGTCTGATTTTATCTATTGATCGTTCAGTGATCTCGGATTCTGCTTGTTTTATTTTTATTTCGTTTGCTAATATTTTTGAAGAACTTAATATTTGTATGGCACCTTCATCCTCTAGAATATTTCCTTTAGATGAACTTAAGACTAGCAATATTTCGTCTTCAATATTCTTTAAGGCTCTAAACAATAATATATAATTATAATTAGTTAACTGGTTAAAAAAAATAATAATAATTAACTAATCTGCATTCAGCGAGAGATGTTTGTGTTATATTTAAGAACTCAATAATTTTCTTAAAAAAAAGTAAATTTTTTTTTAAGGATCCAGTCACGTATAGATATTAATTAGACATTTATCTTCTCACATCCAAACAACATATAATATGGATTATAACAATTACATACAGAAGCATACCCAAGGGAGGAATTTCATGTCCGGACCCCCCCCCCCCATCATTGAAATGTCAACGTTTACATTTTTAATGCGTTTCAAATTAAATTTAATAAATTTAAAATAAAATAGTATTAATATTACGAACGTATTTTGAAATCTAAATCATTTGTTATTTGTTATCGTATTTATCATTTTGTCATTTTGTCTGTTGTGACCTTAAACCCGAGGATTGTATAACTTTTAAGATAACCACGGACTACAAGTTGTAGTTCGTAATAATAACTATCGTTTTGTGAAGGTACCTGACATGATAGTGATTGGTGGCGGCAAATATTATATTATAACCAACAGGCCCGTGTTTGCTTGAACTACAAAAATCTATAAATAGATATAAGGTATTTTTCCATTTGATAAAACAAAAATTATTTATAACAGCTATTATGGTTGTAATCAATAATGAGAAACGAGACAATGACCAATGGAGCTATAACACACATAACTTAGCAATTGTTAAAAATGTGAATTGCCGTTTATGTGATTTTGTGACCCGTGTTCTTCATATTTTTTGGAAGATTTTTAATTTTATTATGAATTTGAAAAACTTTTGCAAAATACAAAACTTTTGCATTATTTTTGCATTTTTTGACCATTTTAGTGCATTTTCTTAGTTTTTAGAGCATTTTAAACTTTTTGTTCATATAACTGAACGAAAAATATGATAAAAGGATATTATCCAACTAATGACAATTATTTTTGTCACAAAATATAAGACAGCATACAATGTAATAGCAATCTTGTTCAGGTTAGTAATAATGATTAGCAAAAATATTTTAAAACATTAACAATTTATTTTAAATTATGATTTAAAATAAATGAAAGAAAACAGAAATATAACAGAACTAAATTATTATTAAAGTACAATAAAAAAAAATAAATAAATAAAAAAAAATACACTACTGTGATATAATTTTAAATTTTTTTTCCAATTTTTAAGCTTTAATAAATATAATTTAAGTGCATTTTTTGACATATTTTAGGGCATTTAAATCGCAGCCCTAGTCATAACTTATTATTTATTTTATATTTTATAGTATTCTTCTGGTTATAAATTTAAATATGATCGTGGGTGCCCAGAAGTAAAACTTTAAAAAGGGAGCCAATTTTTTTTTCAAATTATGAGCTATATATTCTCAAAAAGATAACACTTATTCAGTTTTATGTTAATATTATTTTTCTAGAGAAGAGAGGGGGGCGATTGCACAATCTTGCCTTCCCCAATGATCGCCCTTTACTATGATTATATTTAGAGACCAAATTAAGTAAAATTGTTAGACCCCCACCTTAAATAATATCTAGTTACGCCACTGTTTACATATCTACATCAAAACCAAAGCCTAATAATCATTAATTTTTTAATCAATTAAGGCTACTACCAACATTATAAAATACTATAATTGTTTATATTTTTAAATTTATTTAAATTTTGTTGTATAATTTTAACTAATATAATACCTTCATCACATAAAAAAAAAAATTATATTAATATGAATGATCCGTAATTGTAGATATATTGAATTAGAAACGTTTTATTCTAATAAAATAATTAAAATATATTAATTATTTACCTGGCATTTTTAGCACCTTCAATAATTAATTCATTTTTTTCGGCTTCTAAATCAGGTCTGTCTCTAGCCACTACTACACCTAATAACTGATCTTCAAGACCAATTGGCGTTATCATGAAATTTAACAACACAACTTTTACAGCTATTTCTGGTAAGTAATGTGGATTTCTCAGTTTGGTTGTAATGTATAACCTTAAAATATATAAACAGTTAATTAAAGCGAAAACAACACAACTAATTATACGATCAGTCGATTAATTACCGAAAATTTTGATCATATTCAATAATAGAATCACCTAGTTTTATGCAATTAGTACCGCCACTTAAAAATATCTGTTTTAACAATACGGGTTCCAATATAGGATCTAATTCTTCATTAATGTTCTCTAATAGTGCCTGGAATAATGCAACAATTATACATTAATACACGTTTATTGGTGTATTATTTCTTTATTAAATACTGGTTGGCCACTGGTGATCGCATGCTCAAGTACATTGATATAGTTGGTTGAAGTGAATCGAATGATGTGTAATGAGTTTTCAATTTCCATTGTTTTTATCCATTTATTGGCCTGTCCTTGAGGATCAATCATTAGGGCTGATCGTCTAGCATTCCTATAAGAAAACAACATATTCTAGCTTATAAAATAATAATTAAATTGAAAAATTAAAATCGAAAAATGTTAAGCAATTAATTTTAGTTTTACATTATAAATGGAATAGGAGAAAAATCAAAAAAAATCAAAAAATCAAAATTCAAAATATTGAATATTAAGTGTGATTTTCTTACATGACAATAATTCCATTATCTATGGAAAATAAATCCGTCGGCAGACCGGCTACATTCCAAGCTCTGATATCGACCGGTTTTCCAAGTATTGCACTTAGCTGGAAATCTTTAGTACATATAATATCATTTTCAATAATTTCGTCAACCCAATTTTTGATTTGACGACTTCTATAATCCATTGTAAACGGGCCTAAATATGCAATAATTCCCGAACTTATTAACAGGTCACCTGCAATGAAATTTTATTTATTATACACTTATTGATATAATATGATCAACACATCTAGTGGTCGGCTGAGTTCCAAAAACTCAAGGAGAAAACTTAATTTAACCACCCACCAAATTTGTTTACCAATCTATACCAATATTATTACAGATTACTTAAACGTATTTCCAATACTCTAGAATCTAAAATAATTTAGAGTCTCGATAGCATTTTACATACACATGGTTAGTTAACGGTGTTGGGACATATCTATATTATATATATTTATCTAGATCAATTGATTAGACAATTATTTAATTATCTTTTATCTTATCTAGATAAATATTTTCATGGTATCTGAATAATAATGATCTAGATAAAAAATTAATTTATCTAAATATATTCATCTGCATACAAAAAAAATAAAATACAAATTTGTATTGTCAATTTACTTTATTGATAATTAATACTTGTACTATGAATTCCTAAATAATCTCAATAAGAAAAATTACAGAATAATATTATGTATTATTGACTTTTTCGTTAGAAGCCCGGGGTCTAAGATTCAAATCTAGAGTAAATATTGTTACGTTGGTAAGTGGTAAACATGTAAGTTAACGGGAACAATAAATAATCAAGTGTTCTTTTATTTATTGTATGTATAATACACATGCAACAAGCAACTTACAAAATAACAATTATACCTAAATATATTAATTTTAATATACATAAAAACTGTTCCAAGGATCACAAAAATCACAATTTACTTTGAAATGTCACAATAAAATATTTATTTCTTAATTTTCATACTTAATTTTTAAAATGTTCGTTATTTAGTATTGACTAAGAATAACATCTATTGCCAACATTAATTTAAACATATAACCTGTGTTCAGTGGCAGATCCAGGATTTTATTTTGTAGCTTGAGGAGGGGGGGAGGTGAAAAATATTTTTCCTTGATAATGAAAATTATTGATTTTTAATACATATTTTTCCTGATTTGGGAGGAAGTTAACTGTCTGTGTTTAAATAATAATGAAGTACTAAGAAGTACCTAGTATCTAAGGCAGCGATTCTCAAACTTTTTTTTCCGTGGTGCCTTTTTTTGGACTCAATTTAGCCACGATGCCCTGTGAATAACATGAAAGACAGGACAAAAAAATGCTCATTGATGATTAATTTTATTAATTTTATTAAAATTTAACTTTATTATAAATTAACGAATTTTTAAACTTAACAATTAAATGAATAAAAATATTTGTTATCATTATTATAATTATTACATAAAAATATTAAAAAGTTAAAATTAGAATGTTCGAATATATAATAGAAAATATTTCATTATTTGCTATAAAGTTTTTACGAAAACAATAAGGGAAAAAAATCTAAACATTTTAAACTATTTTTTATGAACCGTAGACCACCGTGGCCCGTAGAAAGTGCTCGCGGTGTTCCAAGGGCACCGTGGTGCACAGTTTGGGAATCTTTGATCTAAGGTGTACTTTCTAAATATTATTATTCTTTAAAATATAAAACAAATGTATTCCTTTTTTTTATTTAGATAAAAATTTTATTTATGTTTAATCGTTAACTAGATAGATTTTAGATTTAGTTATCTTTTAGCATAATCTAGATACATTTTTGTTATATTATCTTCATATTTATCTAGATGAAAAAGTATTTATCTAATGCCAATACTGTAATTAACTGAAAATTGTAATTTATAGCACATAGTATACACTTGAGTTAATCATCTATGATAGATCTAATCCTAACCTCTTTTTGTATCAAAATCAGTCGTTCTTGGTTAGTAGTTTCATTATAAGCCACCCTTGGATAATGATTGTTATTATATACACATACTCAAAAATAGTTGTTACTTTCAATTGGACTCACCGGTTAGGTTTAAATAACGTTCTCCAAGATCTATAGCAGTCTGATTCCACCGCTGTTTTTCACCTCCTAAACCACCTATCAATTCTCCGGCTCGTTTCATTTTTATTTGTACTCCGTCTGATTTATTTTGTAACATAGACATTTTGGATTCATTTTCATCAAGACTGTCTTGAATAATTTTAAGTTTAATTTCAACCTCCGTAAGCTGTGAACGTTTTTCATTAAGTGCATCCATGGCATTGTTGTAAATGGTTTCTGCTTCGGCTAAAGCAATCTTTTTCGGCTGTATTTCTTTTGCCACTTTTTCGTAACTAGACATTGCTATTACCCATTTGCATAGGCCTTGTGCAGCGATTGATGCTTTTTTTACTTTATTAGGATCAAAATCTGGATTTGTGAGGTAATTTTCATTAATGACTTGCATAACTTTACTCGGTATATTGTCCTTGTCAAAATTAATCAGTTGTTCCAAAAATTTTATGTCATTGAGTAATTTTTTGGACGGTCCCCAATAATCTTCTGTCATTTTCCCAGAAGCGGGGTCGGGAATTTTGTCTGGTTTTATGCCTTTAATAATGCAAATAGTTTCCATAATCAATTTAACTGCATTGGGAGGATTATTCATTGATTTTACAAATGTAATATCATTAGCAGTCAATGTGTTTAGTGCAGCGAGAGCAGCATTTAATACAGGTTTCGCGGCTTCCATGTGAGCTTCGCACTCATTTTTTATTTCTTGGGCTTCCGCTGCGGTTTTAAGAGCTTTTTCTTCTTCTTTTTTAATGATTTCTTTGACTTTTGATATTTCTTTGTTTTCGACTTCTATTTTCTGCATGATAACTTTTACATTTGCCGCAGCAGTTATGATCTCAGGTTCCAACTTTTTTAATTCTATTTGCATTATTTCAATATCGTCGGCTGCCTTCTGTAATTTTTCCAATCCTACTTCATACCGACGTTTTGAAGTAGAAATTTCACTTTTATGGACAGATAAATTGTTAATTAACCATCGGTATTAATGATTTGAAGAATTAATACTTACAACCGTTTTTTGCTTAAAACGTCTTTAAATGTGTAAATCATTTCTAAATAAGAAGTCGGTGTTACATAAATTTTACGCTGTAGTTTAGCATGAAATTCTATTGATAGATTTTCGACCGTTATATGAAATTGTTGACACATTTTAATACTAACATTACGTTCATGATCGGTCAAATCTACGTCACCTAAAAATTCTGTAGCTACTGCTTTTAGAGCATCTGCAGGCCAAGGCTGGAATGAAATAAAAGCAGTTTAGTTATACGTACTATCGACATTGAGTACAATGATTTTTTCTTCTTTTGACATATCTTTTGTTATTATTTATACCTGGAACCAATCAATCGTACAACATTGCACGAGCGATGGAAATTTTCTTACTCTTGTTCTAAGACCATCACCAATGGGACTTAATGCCAATGAGACATGCAATTGGTCTCGCACAATTTGAGTGAATAAATTAAATAAACCGGTGGAACTTCCGTCAGTCTGATAACATTGTTTTTTTTTATTATAAGTATATTCAATTTTAAACATTTCAGTAAAAGTACTTGTATTATTTTATCACGTTGTCTATCTAGTATACGCATTTTCTCACAAATTTCTATTTTCTCGTCCATCATAAATAAATTTGGTACTTCACCCGAGTTTAGTAAATTATTTATATCTTCGACCATTCCTTCATTTTTTATCTAAATCAATTTAAAGAATTTGCATACCTATATGTTTTTACCTACTGTAGTATATTCACTTCAGAATCCGCAAATAAGAACACAACATTTTGATCAAATGCAATTGTAGCTCTCTTAAATACAACTTTTAAATCATCACGCCATTCATTAGTTCCATACGTACGTGTCATATTAATCTAAATACAACGATTATAAGCTTTAAACCGAGAAAAAAACAATTTTTTTTTTTTTTGTACTTGAAATAGGTCGTATTGTGCAATATGTGCAGCAAGTTTAGTAAGTGACTTTCGACCTGATCCTCCTAATCCAATAAGTAAAGCATGTCCTCGTGGTTGATTAAAAATGCGACTAATTCGAGAAAGGTGTTCAAGAGCAAATCTAAAAAGTACTAAATTCATAGGTTTTTTGCTCATCTGATTATACTCATTTAGGTATCCTTCAACTGTTGTTCGAAGACTATCCAAATCATGAATTTCCTTATAATTTTTATCTGAATTGTTTCGATCAGAAAAGTCGCAATAAATTAACTGGCGTAATTCATTTTGACTCACCTAAATGTTACTAATAAATGTTATCCAACTATTAATGTTGATTGTTTTTATTTTACCTTTTTGTTTTCTTTTGTTGTCAGATGAGCAAACATTTTGTCTAGGTCCTCTTTCAGAAATTCTTTACAGACAAATCGTAAAGTGTCGAAAAACCACGAACGATCCGCTTCATCAACTAAACGATCATAATACACTCTTAAAATTTCGTGCGTCCAAAGGCGTTTCATAGATATTACATCTGCAACCGTCGCAGGAATAGAAAACATGATGCCCTGGTTATAGAATAATTCATAATAATAAATCATTTTATCGAAATAAAATTAATTTTAATTATTTTTTAAATTCATTATTTTGTGATTTAAGAAATTAAACACACAAAGTTTTACTGAATTATTTATTTAAGGTTTAAACGGACAAATTAAACTAGCCAAATTAAATAAATTAGATAATTATATGAAACATTTGTACATAATACAATGAAAACAAATTATAAAATTATGTAATATACTTAGGCGATAAAATAACAGCAAATTTTATTGAAATGAGTTGAACTTTCGTGATATGAACTAATCGATTCTTAATTCAATTATGGTTTTCATATTTTTACTTATGGGTATTATTTGCAAAAACAGTTACTTCTGTGTTAAGATAAAATGTATTTTTAGATCAAGTGTTACGAGCTGTGGTATGGAAAGAGAAACTACTTTAAAAGCTCAGAATAGTTCATTTCTTCTGAGATAAGCTTATACGAAAAGTAAGTCAAATCCTAATACGAAATTCCAATCGCAACAGACGATGTTCAGGTGTTTCAAGATTAAAAAACATTAATGTAGGAAGTACGAAAAATGAAAAATGTAATTTTATCATTGGTAGCTCGTATCTTGGACGACCTCTTACTATTATTTATGAATAGAAGAAAATTAATTTCGATTGTAATAGTATACCTATCAATAATGTATTAAATTATTTAACAGTTGGAATAATAAAATGACGATTTTCAAATAATCAAAATAATAATTTTATAAATGTTTTTGAGTGTGATTGCAGCGATTACCATGTGTGCATGTCATAAGTACGAATGCGTCGCATGCGTATCAACCTATCACTGTCCTCGCCCAGACTATTTTATATAATATTGTATATATCAGTGGTTCCCAATTATTATGAAGCCACGTACCTCTAACTATAACTTAAATTGGTCCGGGGACCCCTTTATTGTAAATAATTACTTTTCAATTTTATTTAATTATGAAAGTGAAAAAAAATTTACAATTTATTTTAATTTGACAATCCTTTTTGTAATATTGTAATATTGTTAAATATACAGTCAACTCGCAGTATAACGAAGTTCGATATAACGAAAATCTCGATATAACGTATAAAACTGTCGGACCCTTGAAAACCTCGTGCTATAACGAAAAATCAAATGTATTTTGGTCCCCTCGATATAACGAAGATTTTTTGGCTAAAATTCACGTAATGTAACGAATTTTTACAATTTTGGAGATTGATACAGCACATTTTACGAGTTTGTTTCGGCCATTCTTATGCGATAAGATAATGTTCATGTATCGTTTATATGATACACGTCTGTTAAATGTAAATTGTATTAAATATAAATAAAAATTTGCTGCTATCGACAAAGGTTTGGTTGTCTGTGAAGTTCTCAATGACGATGAGATTTTGAATAAAGTTGATGACGAAGAGCCCCCCGTAAGCTCGAATGAAGCAAAATTAGGTCTCCGTTCCGTCTTAAGTTTTTTACAAAGACATGATATTGACGACAGTGTATTTTGTAATATTCTAAATTTGAACAACACTATTAATCGTGTAAGCGCAAATGGATACACACAAAAAAAAAATCATATTTTTTTTAAAAAATAAATATGTATGTATGTAATAAACAAAAAATGTATGAATGTATCTAATAAAATATTTAATAATAATCTCATATTGTATGTAGGTATGTAATTATAAAAATCTAATAAAATTTAAACTTTCTTTTAAATATCGTTTAAACAAATTTTGTTGATTTATGCTTTTAATATAATGAATTTCGATGTAACGAACTTTCGATGTAACGAACTTTTTGCTCGGTCCCTTGAAATTCGTTATATCGCAAGTTGACTGTATATATTAATTTCACTAAAATAAAATAAAAAAATCATTACAGTACTACACAACCGTGGACCCCTAAAATCAACACGAGGACCCTTGGGGATCCGCGGACCACCAATTGGAAACCACTGGTATTCCAAGCGAACATTTGGGTGCGGATACGATTAAGCCGCGGTATCCCGCAAGCGTATGGACGACACACTGAGTCGTCCAAACATATAAATATCAATTTTTTCCAAACCAATTTGAATAGTTTACCCGTGGATTACGTTTTCCAATTATGAGATGAGGAATTTTATTATTGTTGATAAGCGAATATCTTATTTAATCGCGTGTGTATTAAACTGCGATTTTATGCTAGCATTTGGACAATAATAAAATAATAATACCAAAAATAAATGATACAGAGATGAACACTTTTTCATATTGTTGAACTCCTTTTGTCAGCACCCACGGAGCCGCCACTGAATTTTATTATTATAATATTATAAATGTGTGAAACAATCATGTATATTATGAGTAAAATACTTGTAACTTCTTTCAATAATTTTAAAATTACATTATTATACATAATCATAAGTTAAATGTTTATAATTATTTGTAAATAAAATTTAGCTATTAACCTGGATGACTTTAGAAAAGTCTCTTAAGTTGAATAAATAATGAGATTTAGCTGGTGTTGGCAATAAATATGCAATGCTTTTTTTATGTAGATCCAATGTTGAATTTATCAACTCATCAACACACGAATCAAATTGTTTATTGAAACCTCTATTAAATTAATACAAATTAGTTACAGATTTTAATAATAATTGTTTTATCTAAATACGAACGTACTTGATTTCTAAATGCCAAAATAAAATTTTGCTAAAAATTGTAACCATTGTTACGTCATCGAAAGAATTGGTCACAATGATGTTGAAATGACGACTAAATCTTGCGGTCACGGTGTTACCCGATGACGGTGGACTCATCGCACATAATATCAGCACATCTTCAAGATATAACGGCACAAGTTCTTTGCGATCGTACCACGGAAACTTATCCAGATATTGTCGTAAAAGTTCTACAGGTGGCTGGGCACCATAATACTCCTTTTGCGGCATACTTACGTCGTCGATAAATATTATGCATTTTGTACCAATCAGAGGACCAAATACTCCTCGTTTTCTCTTAACTAGTTTGCTCATGATTATATCTTGTATAGTGTTAGCCGATGTCTGCGCCGAAAAGTTGATAAATGACGGATGGTTAGAGTCCTGGTCGATTTTCGTAAAAATATAATCCTACAAATGACAAGTAAAATTGTTTGAAACATTTTCACAATAAACACGAATACCGTTTATTATTAATACCAAAATGTATGTAGATTTTCCCGTTCCGGTTTTCCCTACCATCATCATAGGTTTGTTTTTTTTTAAAAGCTTTGACATCAATACGTGATTTCGTATTGTATCCACAGTAGGAACAATAATTTTATTGAAAGGAATGTCTTGCGGTATGGGGGGTTCTTCTTTTATATAATCGGACCACAGTATCCACAGTCCTTTATCTCTTTTCATTAAAACATATCTGTAGTCGAAAACCAAACTCATTTGGGGAATTGTGCTCGAATAAGGGGTGTTTGGCGATGGACATAGTTTAACGGGTATGTTCAAGGCTTTAGCCACTTTTTTTGGAAACTTGTCCTCCAACAATGCTCGAAACAGAAGATTAAATTTTATTCGACTGTTTGCATCTAAAGCCGCTCCCAAAGACCAAATCGATGAGAAAAAACATATATTCTGTAGGAAAAATATTTGTATAAAACAAAAATGATTAGTATTAGATATTGATGAATATTGATAAATAATATACAAATTTACTTCGATTTGTGATCTGATATCACGTTGTAGAGCTGTTTTCATATGTTCTTGATCAAAATATGGTGTCATATAAGTATCGCAAATGTTTGTTAACGATCTGACCAAGTTCGAGTCGGATGTAGGAAACACTTCCTAAAATACAAATAGTTTGTATTAGAAAAATATTTCAACCATTCGATTGTTTACGTTTATACGTTCATATTGCAACGTCTTAACATAAACAATAATGGCCGGGTAAATCGTATGATAATATCGTAACACGTCTTTTTGTGCATTGAATCCAGATATGGTGAAAATTCATTTATCCATGATTCCACAAGGCACTCCCAACCTAATGAAACTGGTTCCATATAAATCATACCACATCTAGAGACCTACAAATTTAAATACAAGTATTTGTATATAGCACGACTAACAATGAAATTTTGTAAATATTTGATTTGTTACAGTTGCTGGTGATGCTACATCCAAGTCCATGGGTTCAAAGATCAAATTAGTCGTGTTAGCGAGCTGTATAATCTCTCCGGATATTAAACACAACTTTTTGTTATCGTCCAATACTGTATTCATACTTTCGATCCAAATAGCGTCTACAGGACCATCAAAAACCAGCCATTTTCTGTTGAGATTATCCGAAGAAGCAAATTTTCTGAATCCAACAGCTAAAATACCATCTGACCACTCATGTGTTATTAGATCAAACTGACCGTAAAGTTGACCCAACGTTATAGATTTTGGATTTATTACCATGATTTCAACTTTGTGTTCATCCATCAGATTCTAAATGGGAATATAATATAAAATAAAATAGTTACTACATTTTGAACATATTACAATTATAATAATTTTGAAGTTAAATTGTAAATTTATATATTTATAACTTGTTCATATCCCATAATACTAATTATGTATAAATTACAAAATAAAAGTCAAAAGGTTATACTTGATACACAAGAGAAAAATAAATTTTTAAACGAAATATATATTTTTTATGCATATATAGTAGCTAAATAATGTATAATTGTATTTGAATACTGAGCACCAAACAGTTAAGAAAAATGTTTATCTGACATTAAGTAAGTAATATATAACAATGCAGTATTGTATTTTTATATTTATGAAAAACGTATCTGTTACGGATTGAACTATGATGTATACAATGAAAACTAAATATGTGAAACGTCTAAGTACGAGAAAGTAATAATCAGGCAAATGATAAAAGTACAAAAAAAAAAAAAAAAAATAGAATACTATATGGGAGACATATTTAGGAAGAAAAATTTTTGGTTTAAATTATACACTTATATAATTTATTTTAAATTTAACATATTAGATGTAATAAAAAAATTACTGTTACTTAGGGTAAGTATATTATAAATTTAATGATTCGCGAATCACAAAACAATTATATAAGTATTAAAATATAAAGATCATTTACAATGAATGTTTCCAGTCATTGACTATTTGAAACGTTTACTCGTGACGCCAGTACAATAAATGGTTGAAAAAAGAATGTATAATGATATTAAATGGTAATTAAGATAAACGATAATTGATGACGGTTAAATATAAAATATAAAAAGGTAATAGACAAGACAATACTAAGTATTAAAAATATCAAGAGAACACATAGTGGCTATTGTCGTTGTATTGGAAATTAATGAAATTATTATGTTAATAATAATATAAATTAATGCGACGATGGCAAATTATGGTATGACCTGATTATTTGATGAACAGATAAAAACACACACACACATACACTGGTATTCTATAGCCGAAGCGATATTGCATAATGTGCATTTTTTAATAACCTTATAAAAAAACCTTAAATACATGATAAAATAACTACCAGTTAATTGTTGATGACTAATCTGTGTAAATGGTATCGCATTATTAACCTATTTTTCTTATACATGTAAATAATTATCATTTTAATAATAATTATAAATTATGTTTATTATATGATGTACGTTTTTACTTTTTTTTCAATAATTTCCAAAGCACCACTGAGTACTTTGTAAGCTGATGTTTTACCACTAAATGGAAAACCAACAATCATAAAACCATGTCTGACGATCATCATTTCATAGATCTGTTGGACTTTTTCCAAAAAAAATGGAGTACATTGAAGGTTTAATGCTTCGCAAGCTTCTTCTATAGCTGAGTTCAATATTAGATAGTCTGCTGTCGGCAACTCGATGCCGGGGAATAAATCTGAAGTTATTCCCTATGCAGAAAATATAAGCACGATTATTATTATCAATTAGAATATTTTATCGAATAAAATCAGTTTACTTTAAATAATGGAATGTCATGTTCTAGAAATTTCGGTAAATTCACGTCGTTGATAGAACGTAACATAAGTATATTTTCGTCTTCTTCTGGGTATTTAAGCTTTAAATTACCAGCTGCTGTCAACACAGTTTTAACAGCTCTCATTCCTGTACGGGGTATTTGATTCAAATAATTATTATATTTATTATTGATTACGTTTTATGTTATGATGAATGGATGCATTAACAACCGTAATCGTAATGGTTTTGCGATGAAAGCTGTTCTGAACATAATTTGTACGTGGCTACTATTTTCACTGATAGTGAACGAGCTAAACTGAATCCTTGAGAGTACAAAACTATTTCCGATATCAAAGCATAATCAGGTACCATCATGGCTACTGAACGGAATAAAGCCTGAAAAAAAAAAAATTATCATTATTTTAAGTATTAAATTATATTATTATTTTTTTTTTTCTAAGTGAATAAGTTAAACAATTCAACAGGACTTAAAATTTGAATCGAGAGAAGTAGGATTTGTTATGTTTTTTGTAATCACTGTTTATTACTTTCAAATTATCCGGCAATTCCGAACGTCCGGCGTATCCGGGATTCATAGTAATAAATATAGCACACGTTTTGTCCAATGTTAAATTCGATCCTTCAAAAAATATCTTCGTCAAACCAGTTTGTATACCTCGTTGAATAGTCAATATTTGTTGTGCGACTACTGATAAAACCTCTAAGTCAATACGATTAAATTCGTCGAAACATGCCCAAGCACCACATGATAGTAAACCCTGAAATTATAACGCGATCTAGTAAAACCTTAGTAATATTATATCCTCTGGGCTAAGAAATCACTTTGAAAAATTTTCCTAGGCCAATGTAGTCCATACTATCCGAACAATTGAAAACGACACACTGTTTAGCAACTGCTTTAGCTAAGTCTTTGGTAGTCTCTGTTTTGCCAGTACCAGCGGGCCCTTCGGGGGCACCACCGAAATTCAACTGAAGAGCGCAAAATAATGTCCGATAACAGCGGTCCGTGAGTGGAGTGATAACTAATCTTGACGAATTACCCAAATATTCATAACCATAATTCAACGAAGCGTTTATCATGAAAGTGATCAAGTCGTTTTCCTAAAAATCAATCGATTTCAAACGGTAAAATGTTTCACTGTTGAAATAAATTTTACTTTACCATCAAATAATACCGCAATTGACTAATCCACCCAAAGTCGTTGGTCTTGTAAATATTTTTGTGCACCAGATCTTCGACGACGTCTCTTGCGTGAACATCCATTACAATCAAGGCGCCTGGTTTAATGAAATAATTTTAAAATGGCATAAAATTTAAAAATATGCCCTAATTCAATCTCACCCAAAGTCATTCGCGTTTGAAGTGGTAACACACCACGGACCAAACTAACAATTTTTTCAATTTGTCCATTACATTTATTTAAATACGCTGGGAGTCCTTTTGGGTATTGCTTAATAGCTTCTGTCATTTCAGTAGTCCAGAACGTGCATGACACGGCTAACACTGCTTGCCCAGGCCACTGAACTACCCATTCATGTCTAATGGTTTGTGTGTAAGCTAACAAGGCTTTATTGATTGTTAGCCTAACAGTAGATTTCATAGACAGTTCCAAATCCATCAGCCATTTCTCAACTTGCCCTCTAGCTTTTATCGTGTTAATTATTTCTGATAAATTTACAATTTCTTCTTCACTAGATACCATAGATATAATTTCTAATTTTTCAGTGAACACTAAAGTGGATATTCCTTCGAAACATTTTTTCAAATGAGGTTGCACTCTTTTTGGATCTTTAGTTTCCGATAAGATTTCAAGAAGTTCGTCATTTGACAAAAAAAAAAAACCTCGGAAAGTAAAGTCGTTTTGTTTCCAAATAACTATTTAAACCCTTTTGCACCACGTCTAAAAGTGTAAAAGCTTTTGTCAAATCTTCCAATATATTTTCAATATTAACTGCATCTAAAATATTTGTTGTTCTTTTCAGATTTTTCATCAAATTTCTCCAAATCTATAAAAAAAATATTTTTAAATATTTTTGTACCCAATATACCTATAAATAAATTATGACCAACAGTGTCGGTCTGGTCAATTCATAAGTTTATTCATAATTATAATTGTAAACATTTATCTTATTTAATAGAATCTTACATGGAGATCTGGTTTAGAGATATTTTATTTTTCTTTACAATTTAACCAGTGTCATACTTTTGGGGGAAGAGGAGGTTAAAAACTGAGGCATTTGTCAGTTTAATTTTAACTTCAACTTTTAATCGCCACATTTAAAAAGTAAAAGAAATCTTCAAGAGGCCAATTTCGTCAATAAATATTAATTGTAGATCAGTTGATCTCCTGACTCTATCATAAATTCGTCCTTGGGCTTATAGCAACCACGCTAACATAAAAAATCAGAGTGATTATTTTCCTGAATTAAATTAAAATTGTATTGTTCTTATCTTAATCTTGAAATATTGTTGACGTGATTTAATAGACTTAGATATAACTGTTATAGTTTATACATTTTAGTTATCTTGATCAATTGATCAAAATCGCAATTTATATAAATAATTTGAAAAATTGAGATAATATAGGTCATATGCACGAACACAATGATATTGACTTTGGAAAAATATAAAAATAAAAATAAATTAAAATAGAGTAGAGTAGAAGTAGAGTTTGAGAGTAACGAGAAAAAACATTTTTACTAAACTTTTATTGAATCTTCTCCAGTATTAAGTTGTTTAGGAGTCCATTGTAAATTTTTTGCCGGAGGACCAATCATGAGCCAGACCGACATTGGTAACTTAACAATTTTATTTAGAACTATTATGGTAAAATATGTATTTACCTTATCAACTATGTTAAATTGTTGAGATTCATTTGGAATTTGGCTTCGTATATCGGGAGATGAAAATATAGACTCTAAATACATCCATGACATTTGTACTTTGACCAAAAATTCCATTATTTCATTCAATGTATGAATTGCTGTATCCCATTCTCTGAAAAAATAATATTATATAGAAACATTTTTTAATTTCAGTAAATAAATTGAAATAAAATACAATAATTTGTTTTCAAATGCTTTAACGAAAGGAGAAGTTTTCATTGTAGCTGTTTTCATTATGTGATCATCAAGCAATATTTGTATATCTTCCATAGCGGATACAATAAAAGTGCCTGAATTTCTAAAGCATAAAATGAAATCACACCTTCCAATTTAACAATTTAATCAAATGTATACTTATAATCCACTAGATTAAAGCTTAAATTATTCCAATCAGCCATCATTAAGTTCAATTTCTTTTCTAAACTACTTTCTTTAGTAGCACCGTCACTGATTATTTCAAATAGAGGTACAAATTTACTGAGTTTGAAACTTAATATTTTTCCCAACGTAAGCCTTTGGTTAGAATTCATTACAAATCCTACAGTATTTGAAATCTCTTCCCAGTGACATTCTTTAAGCGATAAGTTGCCCAGTGTCATTATTTCTGGCATTCTTTGTTTGAATAATTCAATCGATAATCGTACCTTTATAAATTTAATAGTTAAACTTATATAGATTAATGATATTACACATATATATAGATAACCAAATATGAATCTATTTAATATGCTAAAGTACAGTTATAATCATAAAAATCAGTTTACATATAATATTATTTTCGATCTACTAAATTTGACTAGAATTTTCAAATATTAGATGCCTATAATTTATAAACCTTTACAATTTTTTCTACAGATATTTTGACAGAATTATACAATACAAAATTAAAAACGTGAGAAATTTCCTATTTAACAAAAATCCACAGTCGATAACTAAAAGATAGCATAAAATATATACCTATATTGTATACTATTTATTTAAAAGTTTGTACAATTTTTTGTAAACCATAAAATTTGAATCCTAATTGAAAATCACAGGATACTACAATAAAATGTGATAGTTGTAAAAAATATTAGCTAATATAATATTAAGCAAGGGTATTAATACATTTTTTTAACTGCATTTATCATCTATTATTGTATTTTTAAATCTCAGTATTAATAGATACCTAACCTCTATAACTATATCATATGAATATTATCCATTTATGAACGTTTTTCCAAATTATTTATTTATTTATTTTTGTCATTGCTGCAAAGTTTTAGAAATACATTTTGTACTTAGATATGCTTATAGTATGGTTATCGTACTGATAGTATACCATTAATAAGTCACAATAAACATGTCGTTATGATGAAGACTAGAAAAATAATATCACATCGAAAACAATATCGACTTTATGTTAAAAATTAAGTTTTATGACAAGAATATTAACTGTATTAAAATATAATATTATCATATTATGTTTACTCGAGATTTTATGAAATTTTTGTTATCGTAAACTATTTCGAACATATTAACTTCTAATTTACAGTAGCAATATAACTCGCTTAAACATATTAAGGGTAGCCATTAAACAGTATAATTATTTGCTGTACTCAGCAAAAAAATGAGCCATACGACAATAAGATTGGCGAACGATAAATATGAGGTGAAATTTAAAAAATAATCACATAGCGGAGATGTCACATTACTACACTGTTTACAACTCCCAGTGGCGTATTTACAAACAATTTTTTTGATGGGGGGTGTCATACATTTTTTTTAATATATCAGTATAAAATTAATAAAATTACATTTTTATCTGTTTTATTATCTTCTTATTGAAAAATATAATTTCATTAATAAATAATAATATATGATAAACTCTAGCTTCCTTCTTTTATTTGCACGTTCGTCAATAGCTCCATTGGTAGTAATATTTAAATCTGGATAAATCAATAACATCGCAAGGCTATTAAGTCTTTTCTGAAACAAAATGCGATCTTCGTCCAACTATCTCCACAATTAGTAGACTACAATTTTCTGCGAACTACAGGCTACAGCAATAGGCCTGTGAAGTGTATAATGTATTTCTACTTGTACAGTCAAAAATACCAATATTTCAGTACCTGGGTTTTATTAGTTTTTATAATATTAATAAAATTTATAAATTTTAAAATGTTTTATTCGAATTTATAAAAACTTTATAACATCAAATAGATCGAAATTTAAAAATTTGAGATTTGGAAATTATCTGGGGAGGGGTGTTAAATTTCCAACACCCCCCTACCATAAATACGCCACTTACTACTCCATATAAAATCATATAAAAAAAGTTTTTTCCTACACGCCTCTAGCAAATTTTATTAGAATTTATTGTTGTTTTAATATAATTTGTACATAATAGTAAATAACCAATTATTGGTATTTTTCATTATAGATACTCAATGATCAAATTTACCGTTTTCGCAATAGCTAATGGAGCAGGAATTTTCATAAAGGTCCGCTCAAGTTTCATTATGTTGCGATAATAGGTGGAAACATGATAATCAATTTGTTCCGGGTCGTATGTACCGACTTGGGCGTTCATCCATTTTTCGTTATTGGTAATGAATTCATAGCAGTTTTGGTAAAGTGATTTGTACGGTGCTAAAGTATCTGCGATCTAAAATTAAAATTTTTTACATTTCAATCATGTGCATTTCATTATTTGTGCATTTGTGAGTAGTACGGATTCGTAACACTCATATTTACAGTTTTCCAGAGTGGATACACGCTTTCTGCCATATTAAAAAATACTTCTTCCTTGTTAAACTCAGTTATTGTTTTCAATGCTTCTGTTAATTTATTGTCTAACCTTTCAGATTTCTTAACATACTTTTCTATTTCATTTATATCACCAAGTGTTTGAAACTCTTCTACTTCCGATTGATAATTTATTAAATTGTTTTCGAACGTATCTATACGATCCGACAAAATCTTTTTGAATTCTATTTTTTTTTGCTACAACCGTTTCAGAACTCATAGATATTACTTCGTGAATATATCTGGACCATTTAAATGTTTTGGTAAAGTGTTTCATAGTAGCTAAATCCGTTATTGGAATGTAATCATCCAAAAAAAAATTGACATGAAAGCACCTTAACTACTGTTTTTCTTAGTTCAGGTAAAATATTAGCTTTCATGTCCGCTATAAAGATGACAAATTGCATAAGTTCATCGGCATTTTTTGGTGGTGTTAGTATTGAATCACAATAAGACGAATATCGTCTATTTAAACTAAACAACAAAAAAAGGTTGAAACAACATTAAATCTAATCAACTAGTCAAATTTTAAATTTATACTTTTCTGAAATGGCTAAGTATGTAGACCTCATGTGATCGATAATGATATACTTAAACTTATCTGCATGCTTAATTAAAATACTGACGATTTCAGTAAATTTAATTTTAAATACACCTGTCGTCGACAATGAATTTATGTCCAATGGTATAGCCAAAGAAAGGTCATGATACTCAATAATTTTATGTTTAAACTCGTCAAAAGTATGCTCGTGGGATATGAATATATCCACGTTAAGTTTAGCCTCTCCATTAATCAAATATAAATATTTTTGGACTTTTTCTACAAATACATTATTTTGTTCCCAACAATCATCCAAATATGTTAGTAATTTTTCGCGATTTTTACACACAATATCATAATCTAGATCAACCTAAAAAACGAAGATAAAATCAAATAGTATTATATTCTTATCTATCGGTTTAACCTAATTGTCGTTTCAACTGTTGTTTACCAATATAAGTACAATTTATAATATTTATTTTTATCCTTACTTTCAGAAATACATCTGTATTACAGTTTTTGTCATTAAAGATATGTTCTATACGTTTTAAATATAATGGTATTTCTGTTATCAATTCATAAATTAAAATAACAAAATCTCGTAAACGTTTGTAGGATGGCAAAAGTTGTAATTTTTTCGTTTCTGTATACCACATTTGTTACGAAACCTGGATTCTTCTTTTTAACATTGAAATACAGAGTTTTTTAGTAAATAATTTATATTATATTATAATCTAAAAACTAATAATTTATTTTCGGTATAGTTTGTATATTGTAAACAATTTGTCTTGATTATTTTTATTTGAATTAAATGTTTCATACAAATAAATCGAACTGGTAAGATATTTAAACTATAGATACTTCGTGATGTATAATTTATTAACTTTGAGCAAACAGAATAGTATCTATTATGTTTATATTTGTTGTTCCTTTTATTAGATAAAATGACGAAAATCAAATTAATATGAGTTGTATTGCCAATATAAATTGTCAACTTTATTAACATGTAGTTTTCCCTACGCAAGATTTCATTTCATTTTTTTCATAATTAGTATCATGTTACATTACCTTTGGGTCACACATAAATTCCGTATAGTCTACAATGGAATTTTGTATGTATTCTCTGAACTGAATTTGCATGGTGAACGCAACGCATTTGAAAAAAGAAGACAATTTTTTCTTGTTATCAATTTGTGGCAAATGACTGCTGTATTTTTTCTAATAAAATGCGATAGGATTAAGGTGATAGATCATAATAAAATATTTAATCGACCAAGAATTATTACATGTTGAAATATTTTTCTAACATCACCAAACCATTGATTTCGTACGGTATATTTAATATCCAATAATGGCAGGAAAATCAATTCTTTAAACTCCTTTATTGTATAACTTGAGTCCCTTCGACTTATATTTTCGTAATTCATAAGAATCATTTTACTTGAAAATTTTTAACAGTACAATAAAGATTATAGCCAACACAATTTTAAATTGGTCAAAGGATATATTATTTTGTATTTTAATTATTTTTTTGCAATTCGAGCATTTACTTCTGAGATTATACATACATTTTAGTAGCTATTATTAACAAACGGAACAATTTAAGGAAAAATTATTGTTTTTATAACCGAATAAATATTAATTAAAGAATTAAAGCAAATTAAAAAATAGCAAAAATATGGTTTTACATTACAAAAATAATATGGATGATAAATAATAGTTAATTAATATAATTAGATTTAATTATATTATTATGTAAAAATTATATTTTAATATAATAATTCTATAACATAACTAATATTTTCTATCATATTGATGATATGTTTGACGAAGCTGATTAATATAATTAATTATATTGATCGATATAATGATATAATAATTTGTTGAATTTAATAGTACCTAGAACATTATTATAATTATCTAAAGCCAATTTGTTTGTATCCTAAGCATCTACAATTATTAAGATAATAATAATTTATAACATGAAAATGATATTTTTTTTTCTCGATGTAAGTTGTAAAATAAAATATTATTTTTTATAAATGTAAAAAAAAGTAGTTAAATAACAAAAAGTTTTACAAAAATATGTTTTACGATTTATTTAATATCATTTTAACAATTTCTTATTTAACTTAAATTAAACTTAGTTTAGTTTAACTAAACTTAATTTCGATCTTAGAAAAAAAAAACATTTAGACAATACCTAGAATCCCAGCATATTTTTGAGTACAGAAACTCTTGATTAATATTGTTAGTTGAAATTTAAATTATATTCAGATGTGTTTTTTTTTTATAAAAATTTACCATCGGTCATTAAAAATTAAGATAAAAATTAATTTTTAAATAATATTAAAACGGTCAAATTTTCTATATCCTATGTAAAAAGTGCGTTTGAAAAAAATACAAGTAATATATATATATATACTATACTACATTGATAGTATGAATTATATTTATAATAATTATCCTTTTTATAATATAGTATACCGTGAAAATTGTTTGAAGTTTTTAACTCCAATTATTGTATACAATTTAGATGCGATGAGATAATTATTCACCTAACTTACTCGTAGTTTCTGTACCATAAATCGATAATTTGTAAGACTATTGGATTAGATTTGAAAAGGTTTTCCTCGAGATTTGCCTTAGCACGTTTTCGCGACTTTTCCCACAGTGGAGCATTAAGTCGCAGTTCTGCTTTAATTGACGTGGCTAACGACGAGAGGTCTTCATGAAACTCGTATGGATCAAGGTTTGCTATTTTTAAAATTCCTTCTTTCGACGACTTCGTGTGTTCCTACGAATATTTATGATATCAATGTTGCATCATGAAAATTTAAAACGAATAAGAACTGTTTTGTAATAATTTATTATAACTCAAGGATATGATATTATTGTTAATTTGATTTTCTGAACAACGCATTACATCAAATAGTATCGTTTATTTATTACAAATTTATATTAGTAATATAACGAATAAAATGGTATTGTAGTGCTTTTTATTTCATGTAATTATAATTTTTATTGGTGATGAATTCAATAAATTATTTAATTTACATTAATACACTAAATAAAATAGTATTTACTTTACAAAATTTTAATTTAAATGATTGTTCTATTAATACATGTAATTAATTTCATAATAACTTATCTACGAGTATAAAGTTATTTATTATTAAAAAAAAGTTTGTATTAAGTTTTCGGATATACCAAAAATAATCGATAGATTTGAAAAAATAAATGGTTCCTTTTTAAAATTTTTTTTACTAATTTAATTCATTGATTCGAATGGCATGAAATTTACATTAACAGATTTAAATCTCATATTTGGTACTTAAAATAAATATTTAATAGTGTTGTGAATATAATATATACTTACTTGGAAAACTTCTTTTTTTAGTGTTTCTAGTGACGATAAACATTGAAGCTGTACCGGTAAAGAACTCACCATTCTATCCATTGTTTCTCGAGAAATTGGCGTATAACAGTCCGAATTGATATGGGAACCATACTTAATAAAAAAATGATACCTTATCAAAGGATTTTTGAACTTTTCTCTTGGTAGTAAATGAGAAGCGTAGTTCAAAATCACATTAGTACGAAATTCTTCGGCTGCAGTACGCTGTTTTATTGCCATACTCTACATTTATTATTAATATATAATAATAATAAATAAATAAAAAATAAAAAATATTATATTATGTATTATATTTATAATAAATATATAAGTTAATACCTTAAGTATTAGGCTAGGCCAGTGGTTCTCAAACTTTTTTGTTCACGGAGCCCTTATGTTTTTAAAAAAATTTTCGTAGTCCCGAAAATCAGAAATTTATAATCAAGACAACAATAATTATTAATATTTCATACTGAAAAAAACACATAGTTCAAAATTTCATTTTTTTTAAAGTTCGAATTTTGTCATTTATTGTGAAAACTTTGATCATTTTACGTCGTAATTTACTTAATTTAATTTTGTGAAAATAAGTTATGAAGTCATAATAACCAAATTTTATCAGAAGTCTTACTTGTAAATAAAATTGATGTCACTAAAACGTATAACTCGTTGCGCAATTCAAATAATCATACCAGTGTTTTTCCTCAATAACTAAGAAATATAATAATATTCAAATTTAGAAAGTTAATATATGCCCACGGAGCCTAGGGTTCAGCGGAGCACAGTTTGAGAACCGCTGGGCTAAATTATTAGACAACCTGAGCGTCATAATAATAATTGTTCTAAGTCAAAGCAGTTCTTGAAAATATGAGGAAGAATATTATGGAGTAGAAAGGTTAAGTCGGAACGATTATTTTTATGACTTGTCCACAGGAATCTAAAAATACATTCTCGCCAATTACTATGTTAAACTATTGTCAAGACTACTGACAGTAAACTTATTAAACACCATTTCTCTAAAATCTAAATCAAGTCCATCTCCCCTCAGTCACGAAATACTGGTCTACACATATAAGCTATCGTATACATATTCAATAAAGATTATTTATAGATAATTAAATCAACTGTTGTATAAGCAGTATAATATAGTATAATATATACTATATATTTTATGATTATCACTATTGATTAACAATAATATTATATAAAAGTTTGACCACGTGAGCCATAGGATGGCCAGCCCCATAATTAAAAACTGAATGCAGATGATGTATATATTTCCACCGTCTTAATTTTGTTTCTTATATTAAAGCTAGATAATAGTAAATATGATAAAAAATAGTCTTAGAAAATAGTTTAGATTGAAATTCGTATTTTACTTTAGCTGGATCCGGTTTATAAGTAAATTTATTTTTCTTCGATGAATGCATTATGATTTTCGATAAACTTTCTTAATCAGTTGATATCTGTATTAAAAGAATAACTAGATTAAAGTTAGTTTTTACGAAATAAATGTAAAAATTTGATATTTTTACGTATACGTTCCCAAGGATACGAAATTTGGATGTAAATATATCCATAACACAATGTATTATTATTATTATTATGTCATCTGATAAATTATTTACTCCAGAAATGTATGTAAGCTACCTTATCTGTGGTGAAAGCACCAGTCACCTATTTCATGAATTTTGTATATACATATAAACATCATAGTTTATATCAGGACTTTGAACCGGTTAAAACCGTTTTTTTACTAACCGGTTTAATTGAAAAATGTGTATGAACGAAAACAAAAATGGAGCCACAGTTACTAATTTTATGGAACGAAAACGAAATAGTTAACCAGAAAAATATTTTTCGTTCTCAAACGGAAATAAATACATTTTTAATTACGAAAAATTATTAATATTAAATTTTAGTTTTTACACATTTTTTTAAGTTGGTCAACCTGTTTTGTTTGACAAGGACAGGTAAAAATTATTAGATAAATATAAAATAATTTACAAGATAAAAATTGAACAATTGATAAGTGGGACTACTGGTCGTAACTTCACACTACTGTAGTTAATACGTGAACACGATTAATGACAACCAGAAACCACACTGTTTATTTTTATAATACTGCTTTTAATGCACAATGGTGTTATCTTAAATTAAATCGAATATTTGTAAATTTGTTCAACATTTTGAATTAATATAGTTTTTCTTTTTTGTCTTACTCGATAATAAATATTACAGTTATGTTGTTCATTATGTATGTTAGTATATTCAATATTGTAATAAAAACTTAAAAATGTGTATCATATTATTTATTGTATATTAATATATTATAAATATACAGTAGGGTCTCGATAATCCGAACACAGGCTAATCCGAAATATGCGGTAATCCGAACGAGCTTGAGAAATATCGCATCGCTGTATTAATACATAATATATATATATATATATATATACATATTATGTAATAAATATTATCTGTACATACACACATATATAATAATAATAATTTTTTGTATACATTGTCTTTATAAATTATGAGTTTTTATATGATTAATACAGATAAAAATAAATTTCATAATTTAAATTACAATAAAATTGATGATTTTATTAAGCCATAGATAATCCGAACGACCCCTTTCCCCGATTTCGTTCGGATTATCGAGACCCTACTGCAGTGGTTCTCAACCAGTGTGCCGGGGCCAGGGCCGTGTTAAGGTGGGGGCAAAGGGAGCAATTGTCCCGGGCGCCGTATTTTTTTAAAAGTAAAGGGGCGTCCTTATCTGCACTTAATATGCTACCTGTTCCTAGTGGCCTCGGGGCGCTGAAATGTTTGACACGACTCTGGTCGAGGCACACTACTGTGCCGCGAGATCGACTAAGTGTGCCGTGAAAAATGATATTTGAAAATACCGATTGATGAAACTATGACAGCCAAATGTCAATTAATTGTGTAGATAAGACGATACATACCGAGGTGGCCAAAAGTCGTGCAACGCCTACCGCCTGTATGGTAACGCGCGTTACGGCGCAGTTACTCCCTTCCTCGTCGTCAACGTTACGTCATATTACAACTTTGGTCACGTTATCGCGTTTACAACAAAATAACCCACTATTAGACGCAATTTCATGTGTGTTATCGATCGTAACACTGCCGAAATGCTCGCTCCAAAATGTTCACTTGTTGAACGCACTTTGTTAATAAACATGGTTCGGATTTTATAACATTTGCTACTTATTATAGGATATAGATAAAGATTGCAGAGATATTCATTTGTGTTATTAACCAGGGACTCCAATTTAGAAATTTTATTTGCTATTTTTTGCATATTTGAAGTATTTTAGATTTTTAGTGCTATTTTTGAAGTTTTAGTGATATTTTTTGCTAATATACATGATTTTATGCTTTATTTTGTATTTTTCAAAAATCTCGTTTATATTGAATGAAAAATAGTATTCATTTATGTAAATCCAAAAATTCCCACATTTTCTTTTCATATTAATAATTGATAAATAATATGGTATTTACTATTTAATATGTTACTAGAATCTATTTTTAAGTAGCCTGGCGATATCAAATATATTAATACATTTATGCCCTCTTATCTGTTTTATTTATTTTTATTTTATTATTGTTTTACAATATATTGTCGTCTATCGTACGTATTTTATGCTGTCAGTTCTCCGTATTGTTTGATTTCGTTTCATATTCGTTTATTACTCGATTGTGTATTATTTGTTTTTCTGTTTCGATACATAAAGTAAAATGCCGAAAGTTAAAACATCGAACTATCCGTGACTTAGATATTTGTGTCTATTTTCAAGTTTGGTGGCGATAATGTTTTTACGATTGACGCAAGTATTCAATTTTGCAAATTGTGTAAATGTAATGTTAATAGTGACAAAAAGTTTAACATTACTCAACACTTAAAAAATGGAGAAACAGTTACATATAAACGATGTCATCATTCAAGGTAAAACAGGTATATTTACATAAAACAAGACGTACATATAAGTTTTTTGAAATTGTTAACAGAAGATGGTAATTTTAGTATTTTTTATTAATGTATTACTTCATAAAATAATATAATGCATTTAATAACATTTTGACTTACATTTTTTTTTTTTTTTTGCTATTTTTGTTGTTTGTAGGGCATATTTATAGAGCATATTTTAAGGTTTTTTTAATCATATTATAGCGCATATTTTAGTATTTTCGGTGCTATTAAATCCGAACCCTGTTAACAAAATTATGGTACAGAAACGAAGGTTCTTTTAACCTCCTAGGGATTGCGCCTATGAAAATCTCATTGGCAGTTGCGCCGTAATGTTAACACCGCTATTTTATTTCTTTATTTTTAATGTAGATTTGTAGTACTATTATAATATATTTTGCATAAGACATGCTAGGAATAATTTACAAAGGCATTTTCTAATAATTAAATTAATCAAATAACTTTATTTTAATATAATGTTATACATATTAAAAATATTAAAATTCAATTTAAAAAATGTATTTTTAAACGTTATTACAGTATATTATTAAGTAAAATATACTAATTTATTTAAACATTTTTTTTTTTTTTTAATAAAAAAATGGAAAGAAATTTTTTTTTTAAATTTAGTAACTACACTTCCTCATCTTCATCGATTTCGTTGTTGTCTTTATCACATGCATTGCATTTTACTTGCCGTACACTGTGGTGTTTACAGACATGTTTTTTGCAATCATTATATATTACACCAGTTTTATTATTTTTATGTGGTCCACAAATATAGCAAATCGGTCGGACTTTCGATGGAGCAATTTCAGAAATTGAATTATCTCTGTACTTAGAGAGAAAAATATCAATGTCTTTTGGTAAACTTCTTAATTTGAATCTTTTTTTCAAGTTTTTCTCCATCAGTTCCATTGATAATTGAAAAACATATTGTCTCCTGGAGTACATTTTTTCTGGGTTATTTGCAAGAAAAATTTTTAAAGAATTTATTCCAACTATATCAAGTTCTCGAAAAAAAAATTACAACTGGACACCTTTTAATTTTCTTAGCTGTAGTAAATGTTGAACACATCAAATCCATTGTATCG